ATGTCAGAGTGAGGGTGGGCTTGTGGACCCACAAACTTTGCAGAAGTACATTGTGAATATATTTCCACACACAAATGTAAGGCAAAAATAGTTATAGGAAAGCCTAAAAGTAAAAAAGGGAACCACAGTTATAAGGGAACAAGTCTAGAATTGTAGACCAATGAGCTACACTTCCAGAGAAAATATTAGAATGTGTAATCAAAACAGCAAAATATGAAAAATAATACGGATTTTAAAGGAGAAAACCTTAATTTAACATATTTTTTACAGTAGTGATAAATATAGTAAGTTGGAGACATATAATAGATAGAATACATATTAACTTTAGGAAAATTTTTATTTGGTCCCAGGATTTGATGCTTTAACACATCTCAATGTTAAATAGGCTCTAAAAGAACTGTAAATTTAACTAATTCACTAATGACACATGTAGAACACAAAAAGTAACTCGTTGAAGAAATCTATACAAATGCAAGCTAGGACAGAACTGATTTTGCAAATGTATGGCATAAAATTGATCTGGACAAATAAAAACCACAAGTTAAGTAGGAGTTAGCAGTTTGTCTCTGTAATCCTAAAAGTTAATAAAGTGCTGCATTATCCAAATACAAGAATGGCATGTGAGGCTTAGTCTATCACTGCATTCTATTCTAGTGAGACCATTTTCAGATTATTGTATTCATTTAAAAACCCCATATATAGTGAGAGAGACTTAAGCTTGCTGGGTTCCAACCTTAGCTTTTCCACTGACACACTGGTTATATCATGGAAATGGCCAGGGTCTCAGGTCCACAGCTTGCTTCCTCTCCAGATGCTGTAAATTGAGGGCATCAGGCCAGAATCATACTCAAATGACAACATAGATGCAAACCCTTTGTTCAACAGAGAACAACATTCTTAAAAATCATTGTGGGAAACTAATCACAGCGTCTTTGTCCACAAAGAGATGTTTCACAGGAGGCTATGGGCTGTGTCACCTGCTGATGAGACATCACAGGGGACAGGCAGGGGCTCCAAGCCCCAGGGCTCAATAGCTGAGATCACTACCAACTCCCATGATCCATCCCCCATCTTCCTTTGGTAATAAAACCCTCAACACATGTTAGTAGGCATGAAACTACTATATAGTCTACTATATCAGTAGACTAGAAACTACATTTCATAACCTCTCTTGGAGATAGGTGTGGCCAATGGGGTACAAATGGCAAATTGGATATGAGTGAAAGGAATGGGGCAGCTTCTTCATCATACTCTTTTTTTTTTTTCTTATCTTAGTCAGGAGCTCAGGTATAGAGCTGGTGAGCCAGATTTGATCATGAGTTACTAGAGGATGGTAGTGTAGCAATATGCTCTGGACATTTTCATAAGCAAATCCTACTTTTGTTTTGCTATAAGAAAGAGGAAAAAAATTCTATATTATTTGGGCCATCTTATTTTAGATGTTCTTTGTTACAGCCACTTAGTTGTGCCCTAACTTACATAAGAGACTAAAGTTAAAAATCAGGTGCCATCAAACAATATCTTGAAACACATGTTACTGGCTAATTGCTTATATAATAGCAATAAGGGAATAAATATTGCAGGCTGGAAATCTATTGACTCTACTTATGCCAAAACATTTAGCAGAGTTCTAACTTACCTTAGCTACCTGTGAAGTGCATGCTAGGAGAAGAGATTAGAAAAACCCAGAATATTAGCATATATTGCTGTTCCTTATTGTATGCTATGGTCTGAATGTTTGTGTCCTTCCAAACTTCATATGTGGGAAACCTAATCACCAAGGTGATGGTATTAGAAGGTGGGGCCTTTAGGAGGTGATTAGATCATAAGGATGGGGCCCTTATGAATGATATTGTTCCCTGGTAAAAGAAGCTCCAGAGGGCTGCCTTGTCCCTTTTACCATGTGAGGACACAGTGAGAGGTCCCATCTTTGAACCAGAAAGCAGGCTCTCACCAGAAACCAAATCTGCCTGCATCTTGATCTTGGACTTCCCAGCCTCTAAATCTGTGACAAATACATTTTTGCCGTGTATAAGGTACCCAGTCTATTGTATTTTATTATTGTAGCTCAAATGGACCAAGAGACTGCATTTTACCATGAGAGAGATGAAGCAAGGCAGAATTTAGTCATTTTGCAAGCACAGATGCTTACATGCTGCAGTTCAGCTCCGAGACACGTCATGTAAGTTGAGATCTACAGAGTATTTCGTCCAACTTTTGCAGAATACAAAATTCTTTTCATCAGTACAGGGAACATGCTCCAGAAGAAACCATTTCTTATTTGAAATATTACCGCCTCACCTGATCACCTTATTTTTAAAACTACCTATTCACCTAGTCACTGCGTTTCATTTCTTTCATAGGTCTTAACAATTTCAGAATTACTGTGTTTGTTCTCTGACTTTCAAACTGCTCCTCCATCCTCCCTCTTTGGAATGTAAGTTTCATGAGGGCAGGAACCTTGGCTGTTTTTGTCATCTCTGGGACGTGGAACATAGCATGTACTTAAAGAAAACTTTTAAGTGATTGAATAACAGAACAAATGAATGAATGAATGAAAGATGTTAGATTATAAATCATGCATTTTTTTCCTACAGAGTCTAGAATAATTGGGCATTAAACTGTATTAATGAGAAGAATATATCAAAAAGAATGCAGAGGAAACGAAGTTAAAAGATTCTTCCCAGATGGCATTTATAAGGCAATGATGATGTTCACTCTCCTCTCTTACCATGAAAAAACTGAAATCATTACCTAACTCATGCACTTGAATATTTTGGTCATATCTCTCAGAAGTCATATTTCTCAAATGGCAGGAATAAGGGTCAGAATGGAGCCCAACTTTTGTGTTATGATAAAATCAACATGTAGTTCTAAAGTACATACGAAACATTCAACAACCCTTAGGCATCTAACAAGAGATTGCATCTAAGAATAAGGTAAGTAACAAGAATAAATTGATAGATCCAAGTGATGTTTGAGCTGGTGGGAACAGCAGAGAGCTAGTATTCTAAGCCCAATATTTTAAGCAGGTGAGAATGAGTCCAAGAAGGAAAGTGGCTTGCCCAAGTTATACAGATATTTATGAGTGCCTCTGGGAACTGTTGAGTACTATGGAAAGAGTGGAATCTAAAAGAAATTTATTTACTTTGGCCAGGTGGGGTGGCTCACACCTGTAATCTTAGCACTCTGGGAGGCTAAGGTGGGAGGATTGCTCAAGGTCAGGAGTTCGAAACCAGCCTGAGCAAGAGCGAGACACTGTCTCTACTAAAAATAGAAAGAAATTAATTGGCCAACTAAAAACATATAGAAAAAATTAGCCGGGCATGGTGGCACATGCCTGTAGTCCCAGCTACTCAGCAGGCTGAGGAGGCAGGAGGATCACTTGAGCCCAGGAGTTTGAGGTTGCTGTGAGCTGGGCTGACGCCACTACACTCTATCCTGGACAACAGAGTGAGACTCTGTCTCAAAAAAAAAAAAAAGAAAGAAAGAAATTTATTTACTTTGTACCAAAGTAACCAGTAAATTCAGTAGGACAAAAAAATCAATATCCTTGTCAGTTTGCCATGATATAGACTAAACAGTCACTTCTTTTGCTAGATTTCTGAATCAAGCTGAGTAGGAAAATGTTCCAAACACTCACAAGTTTCTATCATAGTAAATTTTTCTATCATATCAAGTCAGAGACTACACCAAGAGTGATAGTGGGACCATCTCATCACTCATATCTAATTAGTTGAGCGATTGTAATTAAACAATTAAGGATGTACAGATTACTTCTTGAATAAATTCTTATTTCTTGGCTTTATTAAAAGAGGGAATACAATTTTAATAAGTTCAGTTTCTGAGAATGTGTCTTTTCTTTTGCTCTGTTAGAAGGATATTATCATGATGGAGCAATTAATTCTCTTTTAGAGACATCTTTTTATTAGTAATAGAATCAGGACCTAGTATTCCTAGATTTAGGTAATTGTGTCCAGGAAAAGTATGCCAATCACAATATAATTAATAGGCTGCAAAAAATGATATCTTCTAAATTGTTTTCAGAATCTGTCATTCCTCTAGTGAGAATAAACGCAGACATAATGAAGTGCTCTTGATGAATCAGACGCCCTTCTCTCTCCACTCCATATCCATGCTGTCTTTACAACAGCTTTTGGTTTGATTTAATACATTATTGTGGAAGAGAGGGCCCATTAAACAGCTATAGAAAAGTGAGAAATGTGTTCCTTTTAGGTTTTTATACTCTTAAAATAATATTCAGATGATTTTAATGACTACAAAAGCATTGAGATGTTAATATGCTTCATAAAAGGGAGGGATACCATTTCATCCATCCTTTTCTGCAGTGAATTTCAAGTCTAAGAAAATTATTTCTTTTGATCCACTCTGATAGCATGTAATAAAAGAACAATAAAACATATGGCTCAATTACCACTGCTTCTCATCAAGCATGAATTAATGAATATCAAATTATTATTAATTGTTTTTCCTGGCTTTCTCTCCAAAGGACAACAATTATATATTGCTGTATTTTGATAAGCATTTTGTGTTTAACACTTTGTGAACCAATCTCTTAGAGGAACAGATGCATGAAATTATTATACAGGAAAATAATTCTTTGAATTTATCAACATTCAGAAAATCCATGATCATATTTTAATATCTCTAGTTTATATCACTTTTTCACAACTGCCTTAAAACTTCTCTCCAATTCCACCCCACTCAGTGCTCCATAAGCCCCTTTTTATAAAAAGTTGTTTATAAAATGTGCATATAAAATAGTTTATAAGTTCAATTTCTCAATGTTAATAATACTAATTCCTCACATGATAACTGAATTTCCAATTCCTTCAGAAAAAGCTCATTAAAAATAAAAGCTATAGCTTAAGCAATGAAACAAATAAGTTAACCAGCATAGCAGAGAATATAATAAATTGTGATCACTGTAATGGACAAAATAAATGTTAGTGACTATTTATACACACTCCACAAAAAGATTCTATGTAACTGATAGTTTATTTGATTTTTATAAACCTTCTGTAAATATAAAGTGCTACATAATATGAATATATGCAATATGCTAAAGAACATGTCTTTGTAGTCCATAACCATCACTTCTCATAGATTACTTGTATACCCAGATTTTGAAATGCATGCAAAGAAAATTTAACCAATTATAATATGTAAACTATACATGTCATATGATTTTTCCTATTACCCATAAATCTGTTTCTGTTTTTAAAACATAGTTTCTAAACCCTATGTCCATGATTAAACTGAAGGATGACACTAAGGTTAAATTGTTTATATGTTCTAGCTAGTTCATTATGCTTAACAAACACATGTACAGATATGTTTCTAAGAAGCAACCTAACACTTGCTTTAGAGTCAGAGAATTTGAAGAGCAAAAAGGGACCTTAGAAATCATTTTGTTCGATGTCCTTCACATTACAAATTATGGCACAGAGATCTGGAAAGTTTAAATGATTTTTCTGAGGTCCATACAACTTTTTATGTTAACATCCTTTTGCCAAACTTTGTAAGAAAGTTTCTATTAGCATTTGTTTTGCAGATAAAGGAAGTATATCTTGCTTCCTTAACAGCTTGTCAGGATGTCAAATATGTCTGTGAATCCACATTCTCAGGAAAATAAAGGTGAGAAAATGAGAAACTTGGTTATAATGGAAACCGTGATGCACAGCCAACATACGGAGCAGGGGTGGACCTGGCTTGGATGACAATGCGCACTGCCTGTCAGGCGCATCATTCCTTTGACACTAGTAACTGGAACCATATGAACTTTTTATAGCTAAATCTAGCCAGATACCAGATGGTTCTTTTTATGTGTACCACCTTATAGAAGGCAATGAGATTATTTTTGCAATGGCGGAATTAATTTTATACAAGTTGATCTTCAATGTAAAAGCTTTTCTAGATTACATATTCTTAAAATAAAACTTTTAATTTTTCAACGAATGCTTTTCATATTGATTTCCATGTGCCAGAGTTATTGGATCCATTTTGCTGAAAAATGTAAAGAAAATAACAGTTAGTAATGCAAATTCAGTATAAAAACAAGCCAATCACTAAAATTTACAAAACAGTTATTCACCCAGCGGGTAGTAGTGGATTAAGGATTGCACTTATTCTTCTACTACAGAATTCATCACTGTGGCTATTAGTTATACTGTATATATGAAGTACCAGATGCCTGGTATGCATATTTATGAGGTGCCAAAGAGTCATATCTTGACGATGTATATGTACTATAAAAAATGCAATGCCTAAGGAGCATACATTGGCAAGGAGGAAGACATAAAGACTTTCAAGTCTTTTGGTAACAACACGCCCTAAGCCATGTCATGGACTTCTAGGAGACTACAAGTTTTAGAGCTACCACCATGCACATCAAGACCCCATGATATAATATTGGATCATGATAAGACTGCTAAATTAGAAAGAAAAAGTGAATATAAGAACTCTCTGGAGAAAGCAGAAAATAGAAGGGAAAGTATGCATATAATTAGGTTTATTCTTGTAATTGATTCTGCAGCCTGATGGAACGTGGGTTTCTGAATATTTTTCAGAGCATATTCCAGATGTAGTCTCCCAGTAGCTCATGAATATCACATTATTTGTCATTAAATTCCATACTGTGTATCCCACGTATGAATCCCAAATGTTCCTCTTTCATTCACTATACCAACAAGACATCAGGAAAAAACACCTTTCACACAGTACTGTTGACCACCTTTTCAATATCATTTTCTTTATTCTATTTACTTACTATTGAATCTACAAATAAAATATGGATACTGGCTTTTAAATATCAATCAAATTTTGTAGGACTTTATATTGCTAATTTACAGTATACTGTGCAACTCTTGTAAATCAGCCTTTAAACCCTTCATGCTTAGTTTATAGAAAATGTTAGTTAAAAATACAGGTCCTCAATGTTTTTTTCTCACATTATTTATGCTAATTAAGAGTTCAAGTTATAGTAACATTGGTCTTGAAGTGATAAAAAATACTTAGATGCTATGTTTAATACTGAATTATATAAAATTAACTAAAAATTTTCCATTTAAGAGTAACATTAAAAGGCATTTAGTGTAATAACCAAATTAAGTAAAAAATTATACAGTATTCAAGTGCAAGTATAAAAAGTTATTAACTGATATGGACTTCAATTTAAACAATTATTTAAGCAGAGAAGATCTAGTATTGTTTGGAAAAAATAAAAAAAAATTTTAAATAGGTGGTTTCTTTGCTTAATTGTATCTATGTCTGGTCTAATACCAGAAGACAATATAAAAATTGACTGACTTTATACCATTAAACAAAATATTACCATAGTATAAATATCTGCAGCCAAATTCTTAAAATATAATTAGTAAAATATTTTTACCTTATTTAAATATATAATTTTCAACAATACCAAATGCTCATTGATGTTAACAAAAGTGAAAGTTTCTTACAGAACATAACACTTACCCATCACTTTAGAGTAGCAAGGTTCACAGTGTATTGTCTGCCTATAAATCCAAATACTGTCACCTGCTTGTAGATTTTCCAAAGGCTGCTTGCATATTTCACACTAATGAAAAAAATAGATATATAAAGTTTATATTTTAGATGAAATCTAGATTGTTAGAGGAACAAAGATAGCCTTTTCAATTCATTCAGAACCATCCTCCAGAGCAACACTCAGATAGAGCCTCAAGAGAAATCACAAGTAAATGGAGAATGTGCTTGTTTCTAATTCATGTGCCAAATTTTTCAAATAAATTCTCACATCATCTCTCAGCCATGGAGGTACATTTCAGGGCATATATACCATTGAAGTTTTCTACTAAACTCACACTGGAGTAAATATAAATTTCCAAAAATTGGTTAGGCCAAAAACAAGATTACCACTCGATATTTCAAAAACAAAACAAAACAAAAATAAAAATTCACAAAGCTACATTTCTTGTTTGCTTACATAAGGGAGACCTATGCTGTCCAAGCACAACCTCGCTGAGTGAAATAAACTGCTGATCTTACAGGGTTTAGGGAGAAAGTTTGTTCTGAGTCATGCTGGTTACAGAGGCAGGAAAGGGTTGACCTCTGCTTTAGACCTATCTGCTGCTGATCATCTGACTTCTAAGCCTGCGGCTGTCACAGATTGGTTGACTTTCAGAAGCAAGTTCATTGAAACAAATGGTCATTGATCAATTGGACATATTCAAGTTGGTTCAGGTGGTTCTCTATTACCATGGCTATAGAATAATCAATCTTTTTCTAAAAGTGTGGGGATGTTTTTATTCTCAGTCATATTTTATTGGAATTATATTGAATATGGAAATAAATTATCTAAAATATAATTATATAAAATATAATGAAAATTACTTCTATTTACCAAAAGTAATAATCAGGGAAATTTTCTTGTTTTAGAAAATTTCCTGCATAATAATTTTAAACAAGTAAACACTAACTTTTGTTTGAGTATATTTTATAACCAAAAGAAAGTAACTTCATGTTCTCATAACTAAATAATTATATAATCTTCATATTGTATTTTTATATAGAATTCTATAAATTAGGCCCTAAAGTTGGATTTTTTTTTTCTCAAAATGAGCTACCACACTTCTGACTGATATGTGGTCCTGTTTGAAGGTTATTGGAAGAGAAGCAATCAGTTCACAAAGTATTACAGCTATTTGACTGAATTAGATAATTTGCATCAACTGTAGAATGTCAACACCAGAAAGGACCCATAGATTTGGGCAAATGGTTCTCAAATCTAACTGGCTGCATGTTGAATCTATTAGGTCATTAAATATGAAATGTCTGGTTTCAAATCAAACAAGAAGCAGTACAATTAATCAAGTATGTGCCCAAACTATCAACACAGTTTTGCCATCTTAACGGTAGCTTGTTTAAGCCAGCAGTGAAGAAGTCTGGAGAGTGAGTCACAATGAAATCACGAAAGCAGTCTTTCCACAGCTTGTTGAGAACTGAATATTTTTCCTTGCAAGAAGTGATCCAAAGCCTGGAAGACGTGGTAGTCAGTTGCTGCAAGGTCTGGTGAATACGGTGGATGACAGAGAGTTTCCAAGTCCAACTTCTACAATTTGAGCAGCGTTGTCTGTGGGACATGTGGTTGAGTATTGTCTTGCAAGAGGATTGGACTGTCTCTATTGACCAATCTTGGATGCTTAATCACAAGCATCCTCATCATTTCATCCAGTTGGTTGCAGTAGACATCCACTGTAATCAATTAACCAGGTTTCATGACGCTATAGTGCATAATACCAGCACTGGATCACCAAAAAAACACCATTAGCCTTTTTTGATGAATATTTGGTCTTGAACTGTGTTTCAGCACTTCATCTTTATCCAATCATGATGTCAAATGCTTGCAATTGTCAAAAAGATCCATTTTTCATCACACCTAACAGTATGGTATAGAAATGCTTCGCCCTTTTGTTTTGACAGCAAAGAAAGACAAGCTTTGAGACAATTTCTTTTCTGTGCTTGTTTAATTCATGCAGAACCCATCTATCTAGCATTTTTACCTTGCCCATTTTTTTCAAATGGTCCAATATTGTTGGAATAGCAACATCAAACTTGGGGCTAATTCACACGTAGATTAAGATGGATTCGCTTCCACTACAGTTTTCAGCTCGTCATTATCCACCTTGGTCTCAGGTCGCCCATGTGGCTCATTTTCAAGATTAAAATCACCAGAACAGAACTTCTCAAACCATGGATATACTGTGCATTCATTAGCCACATCCTTCCCAAACACTTCATTGATATTTTGAGCTAACTGCACTACATTGGTTCCATGATGGAACTCTTATTGGAAAATAACACGGATTTTTGACTTATCCATGGTTTCACAAAAATTGCTTGAAAAAATTGAAAGATAATCAGAATCCAAAACATGTGTTTGAAAGATTGAGGATGTACTTTCACAGTAAAAATAAAAAAAGAAATGTCAAAGTGAAATGTCAGAGATACCAACTATCAAACAATACTTAAGGAAATCAGATATTTCATACTTAATAACCTAGGCTTTTTTTAAAAAAAAATAGCAATGCCCAGTACTCATCTCTGAGATTCATGATTTAATTAGGGCAAGTTCCAAAGATTTCATATTTTTCCTAATCTCTCCAGAGATTATTATGTGTAGCCAGAGTTGAGAACCATTGGTCTAGTCAACAACCTCATTTTACAGATAAGAAAACTGAGCCCAGCATAATTTAGATGATTGTCCAAAATCACACAGACACAGTTTCTGGCAGAGGCAACACTAGAACTCAGGTCTTCAGATTTCCAGTTTGGTACTTATGCAGTTACTCCAAACACTGTGATGTTGATCCACCCAATGTTATTGTGAGAATGAAAAGAAATAGCCTACGAAAGAACAAACTGAGAAGCAGTCTACTAATGGAAACTTTCTTATTATTTATTAAGCCACAATTAACTACAATTAATCATGCTCTCAAAAGCAGGCTGTGTTTCAAACTATTGTTAAACCCATCGTCCTAATTTCATGATGTAAGAACTGTCAGCTTTATTCTCAACAATTTATTTTCTTTTTTAAAATTTCATTACATATTTTGTGTAATACATGATTTATTCAAGTGTTGCAAAAAAACTTGTATAAAAAGAACAAGTGTTTCTTTTTTCACAAATTTAAATCTTTAGGGTAAGAATGAATAAATGTGTCAGTAATCAACTCTAAGCCTAAAGCCAAGATAGTAATTACAAACCTTTGAGGTTTAGGCTGCAGAACTCTGGGAAATATTTAAGTAGTGAATTATTAATGTGGATGATAGTGTTTCTAAAAGCTTTAACTTCATCTCATGTATTCATTAAATAATTATTTTTATTCCAGTCATTATGCAATTTTATATTTAGTTAAGTGAAATAAACATATCCTTACCTTAAAGCAAGTAGAATGGCAGCAAATTTGTAATTCATCTAAAATCATTTTAGTTTCTACACCCAAGGGTTTTCGGCAATAAGTGCACATATCTCTTTCAATGACAGACCTATAGAGACATAAGCAATTAAAAATAAATTTGCCGTCATACAAAAGACCAATGTATTCCCTATAAAGTCCTGGGGAAATACGTTAATTTTGATGATACATTGGGAAATTGCACCAAAATCAAGGAAAGTTTGGGATTTACTTGTTCTAGTAATAGAATTGACTTTTCTAGTTACCTCAAAGTGATGACAAAGAATTAACATGAGGGAAATTTATTAAATTATTAATTCATCAGGAATCAAGAGCGCATCTGGACAGGACAAAGATGTTCAGTTTCCTAGTTAAACTAGGTCATAAGTACCCCCTGAAGCTAGAAGAGGATTTTTAATTATTAATTTACATATATATCATTTTACAGATTACATGGAAAATTATGCTGCAGATTAATATAAATTTTTAACTCTCAAAACATTCAATAGATCAAAAATAGAAATCCATTCAAGAATGTGTTGATAAACTCACAAATGATGGATCCGTAGTGCCTGCAGGGTCTAGAGTCACCCAAACACTCCCCTGGGTGTCACTGTGACTCAGGATAAAGGGATACCTATCATGACAAAATTTATTTTCTCCAGCAAGATATAACCGCACCAAAAATTGGTAAGAAAAAAGGAGTTCCATTATTTATTTTCAAAAAAATAATGTACAACAGTAAATAATCTCTGGCTGTGATCGGCAGAGTCCAAAATACCTTGGCTCACACCAGAGCCTTAAGAAAGGATTATTTTCATCTGGAAGATCTTAGGACTGTCTTAAATAACATCTTGCAAAATTGACTAGGGGGCATTAGCATGCAGTGCTAAAATTTCCAGAGTAGGATACATGATGGGGTGGTGAAATAAAAATAGCAAATACTTACATAGTGCTTAATATGTGTAGCGCATTTTGCCATGCACTTACTTTACTTATATAAACTCATTTATTCTTCACAACAACCCCAAGAAGCTGGTATTATTATTTCCATCATCATTTTATAGAAAAGGAAACTAAGGCACACAAGATAAGCAACTGGACAGTGTTAAGAAACCAGTGAGTAGAAGAGCCAGGATTTGAATGGAGACAGCGTGGTCCCAGAGCCCTCGTGCTGCCCACGAGGTCTATTGAGCTCACTTTGTTGAAGTAAGTTAGTCATACCCAGGAGCCACTAATCTATCATCAAGTCCAGGAGTAGAAGCAGAGAGGGGGGTGGAAATGAAAGAGAAGAGCAGGTTCTGAAGGGCCATAGAGAATGTGCAAAGGAAGTTGGACTTTATCCTGTAAAGTAGCAACCCACTTTAAATGGGATTAACGTACTCAGATAAGAACTGTGGGGATATCACCTACTTCACACACTACTCAACAGCAAAAGTTGCTTGATTGGTCTTATAAAGAATTGACTTTTGCACTGATGACTAAGAAACATTTCAAGGACCACTTTAGGAACAGGATTGAAATCCTTCATATCAACAGCAATACTTCTGTGAAGAGTATTTTCCTCCCTTCAGTTAACAATAAACATCTGAGCCCAGGGAATGCTCTATGTTGGTGTTGTCTTTATTGATATCATATGGCCAGTCAAAGATCTTTTCAAAGTATTATGAAAAACCTGGCTCTGTTTGTTATTGTTGTTATACAGTCAGTATTTGTAGTTCTAATGCTTATGTAGATGACTTTACTCCTCAAAGAAGTATGATTTAAGGGCAAGATACTCTGCAGAGAATTGCTAATGGGCAAAGTTTTGGAAAAGTGACAGGAAGAGGATATACTTTTGATGCCTACTTCACCCATGTTTCCCTTAGTAAATAGGACATAGGTTCGGTTTTTCAAAAAACATTTATTGAGTACATGTCCGGTGCCAATCACTGTGTTAGACACCCAGTCTACACACAAAAATAAGATACGTTTTTACCCTCAATGAGTCACATTGCCAGCTCGTGCTATAGAGAACCAGAGAACCATATTTGCGTTATGGCTTGTTTCCGGTAGTTGGGTTGCAATGCTAATTATTTATTTTTATTTGCTCCACTAGAAATCTGCAACCTTCACTCTAACGAGTGTCACCGAGGTGCCCCACTGAATATTCAATGGTAAAAGAGGATCACTGACAGCAAAAGCCTGGAATGGGGCCAGTTCGCCAGCTCTCAATCAATACTCATCATAACTTCACTCCTGGGAAGGGAGCTCGGGCCCAGACTGGGTGGTAGCAGCTGTTTGTAAGGTGAGCAGGCTTCAGACAACCGCAAGGAGGGAGGGCTGAGGGCACAGACCAGTGATGCAATGAAGCCTAAACGCTAATTATGTGGCAGTACTAGGGACTCCTGGGAACCCCCAGCAGCAGAGAGGCTTGCCTGGGAGGCAGCTGGCAGGCACAGAAAGGTCCTTTGGTCTTTTGGTATAATGTGCACCAAAATCAGAGAGCAGAAACAGCCAGGAAGCCAAGGAAAAAAAATTCCTACATGCAGAAGGTGTTGTTAGTGCACTGTACTTTGTTCCGTCCATGCACATACAAAACAAGTGCTACCAAGAGAGCCATCGCCAAGCAAAAACGACAGCAAAAAAGTGTATATGTGTACACATATATATTTATGTATGGAAATAGAAACATACTCACCTATCTGAAGTTGAATAAACAGTTTGTATGTATTTTCCAGAGATATTCTCCTGATATCTATCCTTTGGTGATTTACTAGAAACAAACAAATATGGACACATGAAAATCAGGTTATTTTCCCATAGGCAGGTTAGGAAACACACTCACACTGCCTCATGCAGCCTTAATATTATTATTCTTTGTGTATGCTATAAGCCAGGATGATGTACTGACACCTTTTATTCTTTCATCTGTAGATGTAAGGATACACAAGACACCTCCAAGTTGACATATCTACCAAAGTCAACAGAGAGTAGGGTAAGGAAAAGTGTGAGCAGGAAAGAAGTCATTTTTTATAAAATTTACACTGCACTTCAGTTTTTTACTAAAAGAAAGCCATATTAGGGCAACATAGATAAAGGAAATCCACACAGCACAAGCAGGGCAAGCACCTACACAGCACTGTTCGCAGACAGAAACAGAGACTCTTGGACTTCTAGAGAAAGCTCTAGAAATTTTTATCTTTACTTGAAAATATCCAAGAAAGAATAATTTAGAACAAAAGCAAAAGAAGTATAATTTTTACAAAGTCCTTTCTTTTCCATTCTGTAGATTGTATCAGTTTTTAAAAGTCACTCTTGGCCGGGCGCTGTGGCTCACGCCTGTAATCCTAACTCTTGGGAGGCCGAGGCGGGCGGATTGCTCAAGGTCAGGAGTTCAAAACCAGCCTGAGCAAGAGCGAGACCCCGTCTCTACTATAAATAGAAAGAAATTAATTGGCCAACTGATATATATAGAAAAAATTAGCTGGGCATGGTGGCGCATGCCTGTAGTCCCAGCTACTCGGGAGGCTGAGGCAGGAGGATCACTCGAGCCCAGGAGTTTGAGGTTGCTGTGGGCTAGGCTGACGCCACGGCACTCACTCTAGCCTGGACAACAAAACGAGACTCTGTCTCAAAAAAAAAAAAAAAAAAAAAAGTCACTCTTGCCCGGAGGACAAATGGAATCTGTGATGCACTAACCAGCTGGCTGCTCATAATCGCTTCCCAAGTACCTGTGCTACCTGGGGGTCTGCAGGAATGAAAGCAATGTGTTTCTTTTATTTCATACAGGGAGTGATTACTCCATGGCCCTCACTTGGGATTTTTTAATGAGAACCTTCTCTCTCCCTCCAAATTGTCTGTAGGCAGACTGCTGTCAGAACTAAAATCTATTTCACGGAACACATAACCCCACAATGCTAAATAAGGGTTTGCACAGATTGATGCACGATGCATATAGCATTGCTCTCATTTTATTAATGAGGAAACTGAGACTTGAAGAGTAACTTCACCAAGGCTACATGGTTAGGAAATGACAAACAAGGATTCAACCCCCAATCTGATTCTAGGGACTATCTATTACACTGCACTGCCTGGCAGTATAGATTTTAGGGAAGTTAGAGATGTTTGAGTTGCACCACCATCCCCACGAGGTTAAGGTATGGAAGGCAGCCAATCCTTCCAGAGTTTTCTGGCCCACAAACTATTGGCTTGATATGCCACATTATTAACACTACCTTTAACAGTGATGGTTCTGAAACGTGAAAGTGCATGAGGAACATGTGAAGAGTTTGTTAAAACACAGATTACTGGGCTCCACCTGCTGAGTTTCTAATTCAACAGGTCTGGGGTGAGGCCAAAGAATTTTCATTTCTAACAAGGTTCCAGGTGCTGCTGCTGGCCCAGAGACCAAACTTTTGCACAGACTTACTGTTCCATATGTGTACATGATACGCATATACATATATACATTGAAAATGGTTTTTAAAAATAAACTGTAAACCGGGCGTGGTGGCTCATGCCTGTAATCCTAGCACTCTGAGAGGCCGAGGCGGGCGGACCGCTCAAGGTCAGAAGTTCAAAACCTGCCTGAGCAAGACCCTGTCTCTACTAAAAATAGAAATTAATCGACCAACTAAAAATATATATACAAAAAATTAGCCGGGCATGGTGGCGCATGCCTGTAGTCCCAGCTACTCGAGAGGTTGAGGCAGGAGGATTGCTTCAGCCCAGGAGATTGAGGTTGCTGTGAGCTAGGCTGATGCCACAGCACTCACTCTAGCCTGGGCACAAAGTGAAACTCTGTCTCAAAATAAATAAATAAATAAATAAAAATAAAAAAATAAACTATAGTCAATAGAGTTAAACAATTCAAGTATGCTTTAGTCTTGGCATTTCCATGAAACAAGTTAATATTCTTTTATTCAACCATTCAATAAATCAAAAAATCTAGAGTACTATGTTTTATAAAATATTCCTGATACTAAAAAAATCATTTCTTTAAAAATCAATATTGTAGTTTGGCATTAGTTCCCATGAGACATTTCTTTAAAAAGCAAAGTGTATTGATGTGATATCTTATAGAGGTAACAAGGTATAAGAGAGATTATTATGTAAATATAGAATAAATGTCTATTTTTTTAATTCTATTTGTGAATATTTGGTATCTTGCCTTCACTATAATATTATTTTGATACTACTTATCTACTTATCAATTTCTTCCAGATTTAGTAACTACGTGTTATTTTAAAATTTATTTTGAAATGGTTTATCTTTTAGTTTAATTATAAGACAATAGCAATCACTGACTTGAACATACCATAGCGTGAAAATTAGATTAAGGAGAAAAAATCAATCTTGAGGTTACATTTTACAAGGTATATTATGCTTGGGTTTGAGAAACCTTTTTTTGGAAGGCTGCTCACCTCCTGACATGTATTGAATTTCCTGGAGGCCCCTCAGGGTCGCCTTCCACACAGAAGCCTCCCTGGATATGCTGCTCTTAGGCCTCTTTGAAACGGGCTCTGATTAACAATGGGTCACGTATATCCACATTTGTGTACCCCGCTGTTATACTACCCCACAATTAGGCCAATCCTTGTCTTTATACTCCTCAAAAACCAAATGTAGTTTGAATCCCTGACCTTGGTTGACATTTTCCTCAACATCCATCACTCCAAACTGCATATTTTGTGGGACTTTAACTCCCTGTTATTTGGGCCAGCTTACATTTACTCAAAGTTGTACCCCTCATTTCAGATTGGAGGTAAAGAACCAGTTGAAAGAACCAGTTAATCAAAGTGGGCTTCCAAACCAGTACAGGAATAGTTGTGTAATTTTACAAAGCTTATTACAACCATCTATGAAAGGATGGCCTTGGTAACAAAATGACAGAAAAATTGCCTAATCCACAGTCTCTCAATTGTGGCTAAGATCAATCATATGAGCTCTCTTGCTAACAGGCACCCAACATCTGAAAAGAGCTGAGTAGACAGAAAGAAAACGTAAATCCTTCTCTTCTACATTCACCAGATCTATAGATTAAACTGCTCTTGAGGGTTTGCTTAACAGCCTTGAAGAATTCCTGAGTGAACAGCGGGGGTGTGAGCTTCAGGCCTCATTTCCTGTCCAAAACCATATCTCAAGGGCAAGATCATTGACAAGATCATATACCCAGTGATAAGCCTGTCTCCAAGAGAAGGAAAAAGGGGAGAAGCCAACTCTTTGACATCTCACAGTTGCTTCTGTTATCAACTGACAACAATCGCTGTTGTTTTTCTCTCTTTTGCTTTGTCCACATAAAAACAACAAGCCTCTTGGCCTCCAAGTGGGCACCTCCCTTCTTTTTCTTTGAGGTGCCATGCCATCTCTCATATCTCTCTCTTTCTCCCTCTCTTTTGTTTCTCTCTCATTCTCACTCTCTTTCTCTCCCTCTCTATGTCTTTCTTTCTAAGAAAGCAAAATAAACTTTTTACATCTTTATATCCTAAACTTTGTTTGAGAAATCTTTCTCCACCCATGCCAAATTTCCACTCTAACAAGTTATATATGTTTGTATGAGAACTTTCAAATGGAAATCTTGTTATGTACACATGCGTGATGTTACAATGTTATTGAGTCCATCCAATGAGTACAATTGGATAATATCCAAAATATGATAAAAAATTACACACCTAGAACTCAATATCTTACATGGTTTTCTCTTTGAAAGAAGCAGACCCTAAAGTACATAAATAACATGTCTTAACACAGATCATTTCAAAATTATTAAAGAAAGCAAAATATTTGAAAAAAATTTGCAATACCTATTCTCCACGTAAGTCCTTGTGTATACAACAGTATCCTTTGGTCCTGCATGCCTGATTCCGGCATTAGAGCTGTAACACAAACCATTTTATTTCATGTTTAAAGTTAATTTATAAGGATAATAAACATGATAAGGCATTTTCTCATTCAATGCAAAAACTAATGCTTGTATATTCCTTCTAAACTATAATTGCTGAAATATAAATGTTTAGGTGGTATTAATCCACTTCTGTAATTTCTTTATGTCTCCCATTTTGTTCTTAACTCTCATTTTCTTGGCCTACTTCCCAAGTATTATTATGAAAATTAGTCACTCAGTAAATCTGTTGTACAGCATGAATTTTATTTTAAATATTTGTGTGATAGGTTATAATGTCTGTTTCCCTGACATCTCATTTCAAACTTTCCCCATAAACATCAAACAAAAAGTGGGCCTTAATTAGCTATCATGACAACATCTGATTTAATGAAACCTTTAGATCTACCTAAGGAATGTCACCAGTGTCACAATCGTGCTTTTTTTAAATCATAGACTTTTTAAGGAACAAAAATCACATTTTACATTTTCCTTTGTAGTCACAATAATGACTCAGTTGCTAACTCAACACTTTTGTATAAGGCTGCTTATATATAGCCCCAGATAAAATCAGAAATTTCTGCATTTTAAAGGAAGGGTCAGGTTGGTTGGCAGATAATTTTTAAAAACAGGGAGAATAGTCTTGCCATTTGTTTTGTAATTGACTACAGTACCTGAGGTTGTTCCTGGCTTCATAAGAATAGGCAGAAGCTCTTGTGGACTGGTTGTGAAGAGCGCTAGTGAATCCATTGACGTGGCCATCTGGCCTGAGAAAGCAAACACAAGTATAAGATGCTTAAAATCAAGGCCACTTAGAAGCTTTTTTGCTTCCTTAAAATTCTTCTCGATTAACATTATTTTACATACAGTGAACCTCTTTATGTTTGCCTGGTTTCTGCACAGATAACACAAATAGAACACATGTACTATTTTACTCCTTCCACAGAAACATTTAAGAATTCTTAAATTTACATTTAAGAAAGAAAGAAAATTACATAAAGAAAAATTATATTCTTACATTTAAGAATAATCTACACGTGCCATATTATCTAATACTGTCCTTTCTATCAAGGACAGAAACCACCTGAAATTGGTTCCTATAACATTTTTCATATCAGCAATTCAATTTTAGAAAGTTTCTCATGTACAATATATCTGAGAGTTTATCAATTTAATGAAAATGATCCAGAGGTTACTTTGAGAAATTCCAGTTTCCATTTTGTTTTTAATGGAAGGCAGTACTTTGAAGATTGCAAAAGAACTCTGACCTAGATTTCTGATAATCTAAAAATGTCACTATGCTTAACAAAGTGTAGGCATATTTGCTCTTTCCTATGGAAGAGAGGAAATTCTTAATGCAAGAATAGTGGAAATTTCAGCTCTTTTTCCTCCTCCATGTTAGTTAACTCTGGCATAGGAGAGACATGAAAACCTAAAAAAGACCTTAGATCTTTACTAAGCTTTGTGATTTTCAAACAGGATGTTCTATCCATTTCCAGATAGCTCTTAAAGAAGCTATCTTGTTCACATATTATTGCTGGCATACAGAAAATCATCTTCTGGTTTTAAGGCAGATGTTTCACAAAACATACAGCATACAGCTTAATATAAACATTATATTAAGTAATGAGAAGGTGAAATTAACATTAGAAGTTTTTCTAATACTATTAGACTATGTCATAATAGGAATAATAAACCTAAGTAGAAATTGTTTGAAAATATTCAAATCATATAATATACAATATAAACACAACTTTAACAAATAGATAGCTTCAAAGGACTGAGGTTATCAATGAGTTTGAAATGTATTTGCATCATTCCCAGCAACATAAAATTCATAATTCAAAAACAGGATGGGGAAATGATTTGCATAATTCAAAAACAGGAGGGGGAAATGATTTGCAAATAGTACTGTTATGGACTGGATTGTGTCCCTTCAAAATTCATATATTGAAGCCCTAACCCTCAATGTGATTATATTTGGAGATAGGATCTATAAAGAGGTAATAAAGGTTAAGTGAAGTTATGAGGGTAGGGCCTTAATCTGATAGAACTGGTATCCCCGTAACAAGAGGAAGAGATACCAGAGATCTCTTTCCTTTCATGCACAGAGGAAAGCCCACGTGAGCATGCAGCAAGGAGGCAGCCGTTTGCAAGCCAAGAAGAGGTCTCACCAGAAACCAATCCTGACAGCACTGATCTTGGACTTTCAGCCTCCAGAACGGTGAGAAAATAAATTTCTGTTGTTTAAGTTACTCAGTCTGTAATATTTTGTTATGGAAGCCCAAGCAGACTAATAAAAGTACCATTTCCTGATTGTATTTGTAATGAGATTAATGACAATTCCTTCATGAAAGATTTAATTTTTATAATTGTGAACAAAAACCAAATGTTAGGTTTAGAATGTGGGACAACAAAATCTTTGATGGATTTTGCATCTCATGTAGGTTTTGAGGATGATAATTTTTTTAAAAAAAAAATAAATCTTTATTTCGGAGTAATTTTAAATGTTCAGAAAAATTTCAGAGATAGTATGGAGAGTCCCTGTATAACCTTCATGCAGCTCCCCTTAAGGCTAATATCTTCCATAATCATAATACATTTGTTAAAACTAAGGAATTAATGTTTGTACCATACTATGAACCAAACTACAGATTTTATTCATATTTCACTGGTTTTTCCATTGTTGCCTTTTCTCCTGCATAATCATTATGTCTCTTTAGTCTCCAAAGGTCTATGATAGTTGCTAAGTCTTTCTTTGTTTTTAGTCAGATGGTGATAGATTTTATTTAATACAAAGAAAATTCTGTTTTTGAGACAGAGTCTCACTCTGTTGCTCAGGCTAGAGTGCCGGGGCATCAGCCTAGCTCACAGCAACCTCAAACTCCTGGGCTCAAGCAATCCTTTTGCCTCAGCCTCCTGAGGAGCTAGGACTACAGGCATGCACCACCATGCCTGGCTAATTTTTCTATATATTTTCAGTTGGTCAATTAATTTCTTTCTAATTTTAGTAGAGATGGGGTCTCGCTCTTGCTCAGGCTGGTTTCGAATCCCTGACCTTGAGTAATCCGCCTGCCTCTGCCTCCCAGAGTGCTAGGATTACAGGCGTTAGCCACTGCGCCTGGCCGAAAATTCTGTCTTAATGACAATAAGCAGTAACACTAATTTTTTTGTTATTTAGAACCATAGAAATAGAGTTGGAGAGACAACACTTTGGCAACCAATAAAACAATCTTCACTGCTTCCTAAAATGCCATTGGATCCCACATCCCAATATACTGATTTAATTGATTGGGATACAGTTTGGGCACTAGAAACCTTTAAACTTCTCCAGTGAGTCTCACATGCAGTCAAGGTTGAGAACAACTGCTTTAGAGGTTGTTAATCCTAACATCTAACTCAGAACTGATTCACAAAGTGTAGGCCCTGGAACAGCTGGTGATTCCAATGTATACAAAATTTGGGAATCAGTGCGATAGAGGAACCTCTGCCAAAGTATTTCTCTCAAATGCCTTGAATAATTTTTGTAAAGAACACATGGTCCACGATGTTTGTCACTCGGCAGCTTTATTGTTAGAAAGTTATCCTCCATCGAAACAAATTGCTGATGGTGGTCACAGTTTTGTTTCTTAATTAAACAACAACTCTACAAATCCAAATCCAAACATTGTATTGGATCTTATAGAATTCCACATGGAATTACACTTGAGAAAATATTTCCTGCAGTGGAAATTCACCTTGAAAATTTAGCTGCCTGAGAGGCCCTCATATACTGCTTGTGAAAATAGATTAATAAAATGATGTGGCTGCTTTGAAAAATAGCCTGGTAGTTCCTCAAATGGTTAAACAAAGAATTACTATGTGATCCAATAATCTCACTCCTAGGCATATATCCAAGAGAAATGGAAACATATTTTCATGCAGAAACATGTATACGAATGTTCATAGCAGCATTATTCATAATAGTGAATTATAAGCCAATAGTGGAAACAATCCAAATACCCATCAACTAATGAAAAGATAAACAAAATTCCCTGGCTACTTTATATGACTTTAAAAGTATTACATGTCCTTGAAATCTGTGAAATGGCTCTATGAAATTTATTTTATTCACAATCACTAATTGTTTAGTTTAGGGAAAGACTCCATCATTTAGAATTGAAATAAAAACATTTAAAGTTATTCCTAATAAGTCAAATTAGAAAACATGTATTTGCCTGGGCATCTAATTATAACATAAAGTGAATATATTCATAAAGTGAATCAAATTTCAATTTAGCAGATTGGCCCAAGACTCTGATCTTTCTAATATGATTCTTTCGAGACCTTGACAAGCTAAAGTAAGCTGAAGTTATGAGAATTTGGAAACAGGGAAGCAGTAAAAATTCTGGGTTATCAAACAAATTCACAGTAGAGAATAAGGAAGCCAATAAGTAAAGTAAAGGGGAGGAGAAAGAGAAAGAGAAAGACAGGCAGAAGCCAGCAGTCAGGAAGTAGCTGAGTTACATTAATGACAAAGAACTAGGGTTAATTTCTAAGGATTCCTGACAAAATTTCTTTTCATCAAGAATGAACAATTCAGACCTCTCAGAGGCCCTGCCATGCCACCATTTCTGCTTTTAAATTTCCGTGAAATTCCATTTCTTCATTAATCCCTCCAATAAAATCCCATTTCATTAACAAGCTCATCTGAAACTGAAGCACCTCTCAAATCATATTAAATGGGAAGTTCCTTAATTATAATAATTTACTTGTAATTTTTTTTTTTTTTTTTTTACCTCAGTCACTTCCAAATAGTATTTGAATGAAGTTGGTTAACTATAAGCCCAGGCCTAGTCCCAAAATAGTAGATATGTTTCCAGGATAAGCTGATCCTACTGAAAATTTATTCTCTCTCATTTTATCAAAGACATTTTTTCAAAAACATTTATCAAAGACATCAAAAAGGAAAACAGAAGATGATTTGGGAAATTAAGGAAACAAAGAGACTATCTACCTGTTAGATTCAAGAACCTTTTTTAGACATGATATTTGGGGAAAAAAGTGAGCTGGCACTTTTCTAGCTTTTCTATTCTCTAAAGACAATATCAACAATATCATTTCTTTACATAAATAAAACTAACAGAAAAGGCAGCTGTACCTTAGGAAGGAAAAATTCAAAATTATTATTTTTAAGGTTCCCCCATATGTGGGGTAAGAATTACTAAACATGGAAAAGTTATTCTTTCTGAATTTAAACAGTCTGTAACAACAATGAAGTATAGCTTTTATCCTAACCTTCCTTGTAATGGCAAACATAGTACAACAGTTTTAAAACCATTATACCCTGTGGTGTAAAGAAGTTTCAAAATTAGGTACGGTTTTGTAGCTGTGATGAATTTGTGCATTCTTTTAGCACTAGGTATCCAAGGAAGAGATTCTCAGAGTGCTTTATGCACTGCAGAAAACCTACCAAGCAACAGTAAGTAAAAATAAATCTTCACAGCCCCCAAAAAAGGCATCTATGGTGCCTTTTACACCAAGCAATAGAACAGCAGGTCTTGAATCAGAAATTCTAACAGAATTAGAATTTGGTTAATTTTTTCTATATATTAAGTACCCTGTACCATAATTTTTTTATATTCAGATGGTACTTATATTTAAATACCATAATACATTTCAACTCCCCAGAAAATCTTCTGAAGTCACACAATTTATGCAGGTACCTAGAGAACACGTAAGAAATAAAGTAAATTATAACAAATTTTACCTTTCATTCTTATTTTCAGACACATGAGAATTTACTTTAATCAAATTGTCCAGGTCCTGGTCTCTGGAAAAAAAGAAATATATATATATATGATTTAGTTACAACATAATTTTAGGAAATAAGCAAATAGTAAAAAAAAAAAAAAACCTTAAAAATCAGTACATAATATTCAACACAGTCACTTGCAGCCTATAAGGATATAGGAGATGGAAACCTGACATTGAGCTATTTGATCCATATAATTCATGGATCAAACATGAAAGTGTGGATTGTGTTCTGAGAGAGAAATGCTAAATTAACTCTTTGAAAGGTTGGGGAAATCTGGTCTGAAAAGAAACCACTGATTTGTATTCACACTTGGCTAACATTTAATGAGTACTAACTCTGTGCCACAAAGTACTAACTATGGATTTTCACATGAATTATCTGATTCAGATCCCTCAAAATCCTGCAGGACAACATCTGGAGCTCAGAAGGGCCACCTATGTGAATTTTCCCATGCCAATTAACTAATTTATGAAACATTCAAGATTTGAGGCTGTACTTGGAGATTTCATTCAGGCTTTCGAGATAACAGGAACATGGGAAATTGACTCAAACTTTGAATAAGCAATTCATAATGTGCAGGATAAATGCAGTGATCGGATTCTTAAATCCTGGGCTGCATTAATGACTTGATACTTTTTTATGAGATACAAGGTCCTCTGGTATGTTATTTATATATTGGTTATTAATATACTAAGTATAACACTCATAATTCACCTTCTTTTTTCTTTTTTGAGGAATTTGGAAAAGCCTTTGCCAATTTGGTAGGAGCATTGTTTAGGTACCACAAATAATAAACCATATTATTTGTTGTTTCATAAAATTTTTCTTATTTTATTACACAATATCATATAGCAAGTTTGGTACAGTGGTTTATAAGATTTAAATCTGAAAAATTTGTACTAACATTTAAAGCAAAATACAAAGTTCCGGTTTATAAAAAATCCAAAATGTGTATTTACTTTGCTTATTCATTCTGATTGATGTCACCAGCTATTTTTGAAGACCTGATAAAAGAAGCTCAGACTGCTCATAACCTTTCTAAGTTAAAGGATATAAAAATAAATTTTTGTTCTTTAATCAAGACCAAATCTATTGCGCGTCTTTTACACTGTAGCAGAAGATGAAGAACTGTGAGTCAAAGTGTGAAAAATAGATTTTTATAGAAGGCCAGCCAAATGCCGCAGGGTTGAGCAAAGGCTTGATTCCAAACCCTTTCCACGGCAGTTGCAGTGGAAGGAAAACCTTATCATTTTGTACATTTATGAACAGTTGGAATTAATTCTAAGAAAATCATCAATTCTCTATAAATACAGAAAATTACTAAAGAGCAAATTGTTACTAACCATTGCAACTAATAATGTTTTAAAATATACATTTCAAAATATTTGGGGGGAAATATGCATTTTGTATGAGGTAAAGCCATGAGATCATTTTTGAGTATAAGAATTTATCCATGTTATAATAGTGTAATTTATTTCCCACTGTCACTTTAAGGACTATAACACTCCTTTACAAAGCAAGTAAAGGAAAAACAAATAGATATTCTGGGAATCCAGGAATTATATCTGTTATTATGCCACTTTTTCTAGAATAAGCTCTGAATGAGAGAAAGTTATTAGCTCTCACCTAACTGTTCTTCCTCTCTTATGTGGGTGTGGGGGTATTTATTAATAGGAGGCAATATGTTCCTCTATAGATGGCTAACTTTAATTGCTTTTGTAGAGTATCAAACACATTTACAAAATTAAGAGGCCCCACATAAAAAGTTTGCTATGGTATTTCTTTTATGGCAGGAACTAAATCTTAGGCATTAGGTTTTTGTTATTATAAAAAGCAATATCTTTCTGAAAGGAATAGAGAATATAGTGAGAGAACTGGCATAATTCTTCAACTTACTGACATAGCAAAATGGGCCCAACTGTATATATCTTTATACATTTTTATAATTCTTTTCAACTAGGGATTATTAAATATTTTAAAGAAATTAACAAGTCCATAGAGAAGTTGGGCAATTTAGGTATTTTAAATATAAGATGTGACCAAGAATTTCAGTGGCTCTAAATCATTATAGTTCATTGAGATTATGTCATGAGCAAAAGACAGCAATTGGCTCAAGCAAGGAGAGCAGTCATAAGAAATCAGATTCCTTCCATCTGGTTTCATTCATGGGGGCCTAGAATGTTAAAGCTGGATGGCAATAGACTAATCTAGGCAAACTATCACAAGGCATTGATTAGTTTGAGATTTAGCCTTTAATTTGCAGTATGTTTGTTAAACACCTAATATATGCTAGACACTGTGCTATGCACTATAGATAAAGAAATAAACAAGACAGACCCAGTCCTTACCCTTATAATAGTCAAAGAGGGATGATCAAACAATATATCCTTCTAAGAGACCAATGCTATGGGACAGAAAAGATGGGAGAGCCTGAGAACATCTAGAAGAAGTACCTGATGCAGACACGGTAGCTTGGGGGGTTTCCCAAAACCTGAGAGATGTACACCTAAGCTGATACCTGAAGGATGTCCATGCAATGAACAAGGAGTGAAGAGTGTGTAAGTTAGAGGGTGTGTGGGTGGAGTTTGCTTGAGGGTGGAGAGTAATAGGAAATGGTGGTGGCTAGATCATGGTGGGAGATCAGGTTAAAGTGGCCATTATCCAATGGGAAGCCAATGAAGGAGTCTAATCAGAAGAATGGCATGATCAGATTTGTTTGTTAGGAAGACCACTCTACAGTGTGGTGAAAGGATTGAAGGGCAAGACTGGCAGCAGAGGGACCAGTTAGGAGGCTGAAGAGTAATCTAGACTACAGTAGCAGTGGGCATGATGAAGGATCTTAGTTTATTAGGAGAAGCACCCAAAGTGATTGACTGATTGATTACGAGGAATGAAGCAATAGAGTGAATGGAGTCTTGAGAAGAACTATGAGAATAACACAATAGATTGATAAAAAGGAACTCCTCTCACTGAAATACTAAAAACTTGGTAGTGTCTTGACAAATAGGAAGCCCTTAAAAAGACAGAAGTATAATACCATCAATAGTTAAGAATTTTTTTTTCCAACTTCCAACTTCCAAAAGGATGCCTTCCCCTAAATGCGAAGGTCTTAGTGTCACTAGATTCTTTTCAATATTCATTTGAGAGCAGACTTTTAGAGTTTTAATAATTAGTCTAACAACAGTTCATAGGCTACAGATAACTGAGGATCTCTCTTTAATGTTGATTCATGAAAATGTGAAACTGTTACTGCTAAATGTCATGCAATTTCTCATGGAATAAATGAAAATTCTATGCCCATCTGCATTTGTTCTGATTATTGTTCCTAGAAAGAACTCAGGAATGTCTGCTTACATTCTGATCGATGACTGAATTTTATTCAGCCCCTAACCATGAATTAAATATACAGCTGTCAGAAATGTCAGCAAAGTCACATAAAAGAACTCTGATTCACTGCTGTTATACTATTAAATAATCAGTGCTTGTGTCACATTGAATTGATGTAAAAGTGCCTTGTGGCCGTTCTTCCTACTGGGAGGTGTTTTAAGATATCCTTCTCTTTACCTACATTAAAATCAAGAGGGCTGCATGGATACATTATAGATACAGGTAGCTGAACCAATTGAATGAAGTAACTTTTTTTCAAATAGACTGTTAGTCTTTCCTGTTTTCTCTGCTCTGTGATAATTCTTGAACACCTCACTGTCCAAGAGTAACAGTATACCAAATCTGGTATACATTTAAAGAATAATCAGATATAGTTTAGGTTAGATTTGTGGATCAAGCTGCTATAGTAAAACAACATGATGGCCAATATTTTAAAATTTCTTTTGTATGGTAACCATATCTGTATAAGGAAAATCTCCTCTTTCTATTGATAATTTGATTAGGAGTTGCTGAAACATAAACTACCCTTTTAGAAAATCAGCCTCTTCTAATAAAACAAAAGGCAAAACTCTTATGAGAAAGCTATCATTGCTAGCACAGCACAGTTGTCAGATGGAGGGAGAGAGGTAAGAGGTGTGGCAGGGGAGGGAGAGAGGGGTAGAGGGAAAGAGAGAGAAAAAGAAACTACATTTCACACTGATAGCTATTATACAATGTGGTTATTAAACCTAACCACCTTCAACATGATTGGGAACTTCCTAAAACTTTTACTGATAAAAAGAAAAATCTGCCCAAGAAATACGTCTATAAAGAAAGGGTTCTACTTAATAAAGATATTTCCATGCAATTATCAGCAGCAGGGTTCATACAAAAAGTCTACTATTATTTCAGCTATCAGAAAATCTCCATGCAGCAATTCTCTAACAATTCTCTAGAATAAATATATCTGATTATAGTCCTTGAACTGGGCATGGGGAGGGGAGGGGCATAAGGGATATGAAGGATGGGAAAAAGGAGTCTGAGCTGATTTAACCGATGATCTTTTGTTTTTTCTCTAGGTTGTAACATCAGAAGTACCTAAGTTTAGATCCAAGGTGTGTTTTCTTTCTTAAGAAGGTTATTTAGTATCTTTGAGCTATAGATATCTATATTTATAGATATATATATTTTTTGAGCTATAGCTACAGCTATCTTCTTATACTGTAGATATAGCTATCTTCTTATACTATAGATATAGCTATCTTCTTATACTATAGATATAGCTATCTTCTTCTATAAAAAGAGTACATGAATATATTTCTCATGGTTTGTCCTGAGGACTAAATGTATACATTTTGCCAAGTCACATCCTAGGTGCTCAATAAATGCTACTCTCTTAGTTGCAATTGCTCAACTGCATTTGCTCCTTCCTACTTCAAAGACCCCAACACCCAGTGGCAAAACATACGAACAGAAAGAATAAAATAAGGGACTTTCCTTTTTCTCCTAGTGGGTTCAAAGTACTCCTTCATGTGTGAATTTATTCTCTTCTTTTCAGAGTATTGGACTATTATTTCCAGGTGTGTATTTATTATGATAAAATTTCAAGTGAACAGAACAATATGGATTTCTGACAGTGCGCTCTTGTGCATTTTCTATTACTTTACTATATATTAATAAAGGACTTTAAGTGAGAGATATCACATAAAAATAAATTATGAGATATTTTCAGAACTCAAAATAGAAGTTCAAGTTTAAAATCTGCTGTAATATTTTGTGAGCCCACACTAGCTGTTGATCTGGGATTTTGAAGACCCCCCACATCCTCTTTTCAATGCTCTATAGACCAACATAAACCACTTATTTGGTTCAACTTTTTGAAAATTATTTTTTATTATTATTTAATTTTACTCATTTTTTAATTTCAGTACTAAAACCCTATTTTCCGTAGACAACACTAAGTTGTCTTAGTGCAAATAAGAGGCTCAGAACTGATTCCAAAATAGTGCAATTGATTCCAGAAGAGTGCAATGTTTCCTTGTTGGCAGGAGACACATGGGTTATAATTGTGTCCTCATTGAAAACACTAAAGAAAACTAAAAAGCCTTCTTGAAAGAATGAGAAAGACAGAGAAAAAGAGAGAAGGAAAGGGAAGGAAGGAAGGAGGCAGGGAAGATGGAGGGAGGGAAGGAAAGAAGGAAGAAAGAAGAAGGAAGAAGGAGGAAGGAAGGAAGGAAGGAAGGAAGGAAGGAAGGAAGGAAGGAAGGAAGGAAGAAGGAAGGAAGGAGGCAGGGAAGATGGAGGGAGGGAAGGAAAGAAGGAAAGAAGGAAGAAAGAATAAGGAAGAAGGAGGAAGGAAGGAAGGAAGAAGGAAGGAAGGAAGAAGGAAGGAAGGAAGGAAGGAAGGAAGGAAGGAAGGAAGGAAGGAAGGAAGGAAGGAAGGAGCAGGAAAGAAAGAAAGTTCCTACCCTAGAACCTTGGGAACATGTCCAGATAGTCAGGCAAGGTCATTTACCGATTAGTGCTTCTGAGAGCTGAAGGTTTCACTTTAATAAGATTGTCCAAGCCTTGGCTGTTAAAAAGAGAAAGAAAAAAAATTAAGATTAGTAATAGGTTTTGGGGTTGTACTAGGTCAATAAAGCAACATTAAAAATCCACTTCATTCAGGGGCAACAGACAGATGAAAACATGAATTGACTGCTTTTATTTGATTACCTCTGATTGTTTTTGATTACTGCAGGATTCACTTTGATGAGGTTATCAAGATCTTGGTTTCTTTAAATAGAAAAATAAAAAGAGGGTAGGTTAATTATGAAGTTCTTATGGTAAGATCATTAAGGTTATAAATCTGCTTGAAATAATAATAAAATAAAATATTCTTCCTGACCAAAGCACTTTAAAAATAATGTAGTTCTATTACCTTTGGTTGTTTGTGAGAATTTCAGGATTCACTCTGATGAGCTTATCAAGATCTTGGTTTCTTTAAGTGGAAAAAAAGATTAAAGCAGTTTAGGTTAGAGATAATGCAGGTTTAAGGTCACTGGAAATGCAAAGAAAGGATTATAGTATGAGACATATTGTTTTGGTATTGAACAGTCATGAAATATGTTTTCCACCAGGTTAGGGGAGAAAGAACTATGCTGTATCAGAGGAAAACTTACTCTGGCTTCACACATTTTATTGCCAATGGCCTGCCGGTTAAGTGTTCCATAGCAAACGCCTGGTCAGTGACAATTTTTCACTCTCAAATGTTTTAACATCATGAAGATACAAACTGATTCTAATGTCCTTATCATTTTTAAAATTGTGTTTACCAGCTAAGGATATCATTTTTAAAGAATAGGCTCTAAAGCTGGGATTATTCTTCACATAAGGATTGGCAAAAGTTCCAGCAATCCATCAAAATTGTGACTATTCTTTCCTCTCTGGTGACTGAAAAACTGAGTTAACTCAGTTGTTCATGGTCAAATTAATTACATATTCTGAAAACTGTCCACTCCCCACTTGAAGCTCTACTTGTTTCTCTTCTCAGCCACAGAACAGTATTTCTTCTCATGTAGTTCACTATTATTCACTGCCTCGGGAGAAGGCCTTGTTTTAAGGGCTGGACAGTAGCAATTATTTAAAGTATTCCTCTAAACATAATTTCATATTTATTCAGAGAAATACAAGGCAGGTACCACAGAAAGAATTGCAGGACTGTTAACACCTGCTTTCTAGTACCATCTGGGACAGCGACCGGCCTGTTCTTCCCCCAACAGTCCTTTTCCCTTATATAAGAATAAAATACATTATTATCCATCAAAAAGACTGATACAAGGTCAGGAACTAAAGGGGAGCCATTTAGAGATATCATCAAAAGGTTTGTGAAAGGGTCTACATTTCCCTCCCCCAACCCTCAACCTTTCCATAGAATGTGCTTTCAAGCTCATGGCTTCATTTAGTTTGATGTCTTCATCATGGTTCTCACATCTCCATGGCTGATGGAAAGTCCCTAACTGAATTTTCACAGTTCTACATTATTGTCAATAATAATATGCTCAATTAAAGATAATTGGTGTTTATAAATACTATTAAAAGACTGATTGGCATATGAGAACTATCCACAAAATAATTTCCTCATACAAATTGATTGCAAAATCCATTATTTAATTTAATTAGTTTTTTTTTTTTTTTGAGTTAGGGTCTCACTCTTTTGCCCAGGCTAGAGTGCAGTGGCATGATCATAGCTCATTGTAACCTCAAACTCCGGGGCTCAAGTGATCCTCCTGCTTCAGCCTCCTGACTAGCTAGGACTACAAGCATGTGCCACCACACCTGGCTAATTTTTTTATTTTTATTTTTTGTAGACATGGGGTCTTGCTATTGCCCAGGCTGGTCTCAGACTTCTGGCTTCAAGTGATCCTCCCAAAGTGCTGAAATTACAAGGAAGCGCCACCATGCCTGGCCAAAATCCATTATAAAACTAAACTGTTGCAGAAAGACAACAGTTCTTAAAATGAGGCAAATTCCACATATTTCAAAAAATATATATAAAGATCAAAACTTTGTACAGTTGATGGTTCAAAAACCATGACTTTTTTTAATATATAAAATTAATCAAAATATCGTTTAGTGTAACTACATATAATATTCATGTGCCAGCATGATTAGGAATAAATGACATAGAAAATACAAAAACAAATATGAGAACTTCCATTTTTACTGTACTACTGAGCGTAGAAAATTTGATTTCTCCAAAAACCTAGAATAATGATATTCGAACCACTGTTTCATAAAGCCTAAAGATCTCAGTAACAGTCTTGAATTGCCTCAATTGATAGCATTATACAATTTGTGATGACAATACATTTATAGACATTTTTTTCAGGCCCTAGATCTTATAAATAAAGCAATCATATCTAAATTTTACCTAGGGAAAATATAACATTTTCCCTACTTAAGCGACTGCTTTCATTTATTTGGCTTTAAGGGTGTAGTAAAGGATACATTAGAAGATTTAGGTATTATTATTTCCATGTAGTTTAAAGATTGTTGTAGTAATTTGTGTGTTGTAGTAATTTGCACATTTGTGCCATTGTAATATATGAAGTGATCCTTCAAGTGACCCATGAGAACATTAAAAAACATCTGGCCATCCTTCAACAAGAGCAGTAATCCTATCTTTATAGCTTCTACTATTTGCCAAGATGCCTACTTAATTTTCATATATTTTAAGATAAAAGTCTATGTGCCAGTGTGCAAAGACTAGGAGTTGGGCTGGGTGTTAGAAGACCTCACAGAAGACTATTAGATTTGTGCCCTGGCCTCAGTATTCTCCCCTATAAATGAGGAAATTGGATTGGATAATCTCTAAGGCTCTGTCCATCTCTAAAATCTACTCCTAGGAGTCTATGAATGTGAATTTTACCACCTATGTGTTTATTAGGTCTTCAATATCTCTTTTTCTTTTTAAATACAACTCACTGACAATACATTTTATATTCAGCAAGTAGTACGTGAGTGCTCCAAAATGTAATATATTAAATTGACAACCTATTATTGTCTTGGAGTAACATCTCTGAGCCCCTGGTACATAATTAGCTTTAATCTATGTTAATTGCCTGCTGCTAATAAGATTGAATATGTCTACAGAATTCTCTTTTTGGCATCCACAGTCTGTAATTATACCCAATGTGCAAGTAATGATACCTAGTTGTAAGCTGTGAACCCAGTAGGTGCTCAGTAATTAATCACTGCCTAGAGATCACAGAACTACTATCAGTCTTCCACTAATTTTCTCTGTGACCCTGGTCAAATCACTTAGCCATTCTGAATCTTAATTTCTTCTCCTGGAAGATAAGTAGATTCAACTGGAACAATGGTTTTTAGAATTGTTCAAACCAACTGGGCCAAGATTCTCTAAAGTCCCTTCCTTCAATCTCCGAAATTTTACAATTTGTGTATGTACCAATGAAATTTAAAAAGGGAAGTCATGAAAACAATCTTAAGATGTGTGTGTGTGTGTGTGTGTGTGTGTGTGTGTATATGTAAACAGTGATGTGTAATGATACTATATATCTTCATGTAACCAGAGACAAAAAGTGAATTTTGTTATCATTTTGTTATCTTACTGACACTACTTAAAGAATTATCAAATTTTAGGTTCATAACCTTGCTGGGAGCAGCAAGTCCTCTAAAGAACAATGAACCTCATAAAATTTCCACTGACTACCAGAAAATACTCTTCTAAAATGAGGTGAATAATATTGGTAATCATGACTCTAATGAAGTGTCTAGGTCTTTTTTATTAGCTATCATTAATAAATTTTAATCAATTCCAGAGACAAAAGTATTAATTTCAATACCATACAAACAAAACAAAACATAAACAGTTCATAGACTAGCTATGTTCTTATCCACCCACTTCTCCAATTGCTTCCTTCAGCTTTTCTTGAGGCTGAGAGAATTGCAGGCATCACTATACAATTGTTTTCAGCGGCCACTCTTTCTTGCTATTAATGAATAGTTAGACATCTAGGCTTCCAATTGTGATGATATTTTAAGATCTATATTCAGTTTGCCCATAGAATAATTATGCCATTTATATTCATTTTGTGTCTAGTTAAGGAAAAATAAATCAAAACAAATAAATAACATCCTTCTCTTACCCAGACGACTTTTTGACAGCTTTGGGGCTTAGTTTAATATGTTCATCAAGACCTTGTTCACTGCTAAAACAAAATAAAACATAAAATAAAAGGTCAGCTTCAATTGGAAATCAGCAAATTTAATACTGGCATTTCTTTTTTTTTTCCTTTCCTCCACAGTTGTATATCATTCAATAGGATCTAGTGTAAAAAGGAGTACGTTTATTGAGTTTCTACTTTATATACATTAGTTACCATGTTTTAATACTCAAAACAAATCAATGAGGTAAAATCTTACCATTTTCCCTTTATAAATATTAATAAGAAATTGAGTTTCAAAGGAATTAGGACACTCCCTAGGGTCAGGTACCTAAAAAGTGGCTGAGCATAAACAAAGATTGAAGCCACAACAACTGGACCCCAAACTCTACACTCCTTCCGCTGAACACCTTCCTCTCTTTTATGTTCACAATAATACCTTACATCTGCTCAATGCTTTTCACCAACATTATCTTCAAAACAATTCTATGAGAAGTAGCTTAGAGTTTCTCTGCCATGCATTTATTAACTTTAGCTGCATGCATGATGGGTCTTAATTTCTCAAGAACAGAAGTAAATTCAATGCCATGCAAAAAAAAAATACTCTAATAAAGTATAAAAATGTTATGTAACCAGTTTTCTCACAAGTCAATTAAATAATAATCCGTGGATTTGTGAGAGAGTAGAAAGCCAATATTCTCTGTTTATTCAGTTTTATGAACTTATAATTTATTAACTACAAATTCATAGTTATAATCTATTTATGCTATTATTGCTGTCAAAAGGAATTTCTCAAGTAGTAATTATACAGGATTAGCTTCAATATTATCATCTGAAACAATATTATAATGAAATAAATGGAAGCAATAGTAAAAGAAAAATCTATCCAGCATTATTACACATCAACAAATCAATTTGTTCTCATTTCTTTTTCATGTCCCCTTTCAAAATGTCCTTAGCCAAATAATTAATCTTATTTTTTGGTACAAATTGTGACTTGCTCAAGAGTCTTTAACAATCTTATTAAGCTCACCTTTTGTTTTCTGGGGGAATCACTTTGATAAGATTGTCCAGGTCTTGGTTCCTAAAAAACATATTATAAGTTTCAATAGCTGACAAAGTCAACTAAAGTCAATAATTTGTACATTTTCTAACCTTAATGTTAAATAAAATGAATGTTGCCAATTTAAAATTCCATCATTACATAAATTCTCTTTTTAGTGCTAAATAAAAACAGGTGGCTACTATCAGTTCATTTCTTGTACAACTTGCATATATGAGAACCTAATTTTGTTTTATTCTTATTTCTTTTAAGTCAACCTCAAAACAGAATTACTCCTAAACTCCTTATTTTCCATATTATACTTGTGTAATAGAATTAGAACATCTAGAATATTCTTTGGAGACTATAATGAGCAAGAGAAAAATATAAAATTATTCATTATTTCCATGTGCTTCTTGGTTCTTTCCTTCCAAAACAAATAAACAAAAACTGGGACTTTTATAAAAGAGTTAGTTCCTGATTCTAAGTTATATAGGTTATATATAATGTAAACCTGTAATATTGATGCTATTACAAAATATTAATTAAATCATTTCAGAATCCCACTTCATGCAAGGCTAAATCAATATAAGAAGATTTCAGATTATATTATTTATGTTTTTATTTTTAAGAACTCAAATAGGCATTAATAGCTAAAGAGATACTGCTATTAACACTGTAATGATATCAAGCCTAACACCAAAGGCCTGAACAAGAAGCCTAATTTGATATAGTTTATGACTGGACGATATTAAGAGAAAAAAAAAAAACTGGAAAGGCTTATATCACTTAACTAATCTTTAGGACTAATGTATATGCTTATTTTATCATGTATACATCCTTCCATGCAAATTGTTTTCTATTATGTTGAATAGTATGAAATTGTCATTTTGTAAGCCAAAAATAGTTGAATGCCAGTAATTTCATAAGGTTCAACCTAATAGGATAATTTCTTTGGTATCTTCTTCAAATTAAGTATTGAGTGGTCCTATGGGGATTTGATGAAGAAAAAACGAAGCAGTAATAATAATATTAATAATGTGTAATAAATACTTGAGCACTGAGTGCTTCACAGCATAATCACATTTAATTTTCCTAGCAACTCATGAAGAAATTAACTCTTACAATCCTGACTTTACAGATAAAAAAGCTGAGGCTTAAAGGAAGTAAAGCAATTTGTCTAAGACTACACAGCTAGTAAATGTTTTATGAACTCAAAAATCTCCCTACCAAGTGGAAGAAAATGACACACAACCAAATGTGGTAAATGGCAGCAAGTGGCTACTAAAATAAAGGCCCAAACACTGTGTGGGGAAGGTCATATAATTATGGCCATCTTCACCTTTAGAAACTAAGGTTCACCTTGGGAGAGGGACAAAAGATGACTTTCATTGAGTCAATCTGTAATGTAAAAGTATTATATGGTCTCTCAATTCAGTGTCTGACCCTCAGACAATGACAATGAAACTGCATTCTTATCTGGTGAACAAAATCTAAGGACAATGTAACACTAAATATGCAGATAAAAGAGTAATGAAATCTTTGGTGCAATCATAAAATGAATGAACCAATATTTGCAAAAGTGGAGGGAACAGCAGGCTATATTTCAGAAGCCACCTCCACTACATTCAGAGCTGACCCTCTTCTCCCACCCAAATGAAATACTCTCTAGGGGTCAGCAAACTATGGCCTTCAAGCTCAATCCAGTCTGCAGCCTGGTTCTGTAAATAAAGTTTTATTGGAACACAGCCACATCCATTCCTTTACAAGGTATTATTTATGGTTGCTTTCACACTACTGGCAGAGTTGACTAGTTAAAACAGAGACTATTTTGGCTCCCAAACCTGAACTATTTACTCTTTAACCCTTTAAGAAAAAGTTGCTGACCTCTGAGCTAGTCAAAATAAGTTCTGTTTGATAGCCACATACTGTAAAAATAAAGATCATGCCTATATACAAAGCAACATAGAAAATCTGTCAGTAAGAAGCTATATATCCTGGTGTCTGCAAAAGATACTTATGTTTTAACTAGCATAACAAAATATGTTTATAGATTGATGGTTTGTCATATCTCTTATTTACTTAACATGATGTGTCTCAGAGAAAATGCTCTCTCTATAAAAGATATATGTCATTCTTTGTATTTTTTATTATCTCAATCAACGAGTATGATTTTTAAAAATGGCCCCCCAACTTCAGAAATTGTTTGGATGGTAGACAATAAGAAGAGAGGAAATAAATGATAGAGGAAGAAGAAAAAGAAGCTTTTTATCATATGAAGACCTTTCTTTAGGATGCTTAGGTCTAGGAAATTGTTTTGGGGTGATGTTTTGTCCCATGGGCAATCCTCATTCATTTTAAGGAAATCTTAAGCATGAAATATAAATCCCATATTGGTAAGAGATCATTCCTATGTTTCAAGAAATTCTCTCTCACTCAAAAGCCCATGGCCAGGAAACCCTGACAAAGGCTTGAACATCAGGTTTCTGACACAGAAACTATTGATTTTGGGTCCCATCACTGGTTGTGTCCACAGTGGGACAATGCATTTTATCATATTTTAAAAGTTGCATTGAAAAAAAAGGAGAGAGATAAGAGTTCCATAAGCCTTACCCTTGGTTAGTTCTGCTTGTTTCAGGAGCTACCTTGTTGAGGCTTTCAAGACTTTGGTTCCTTAAAATCATGGAAAAAAATTGACCAGATAAGTGGTGAATTTACATAAAATGTTGCAAATATTTGTTTAAACTGAGAAATAGTTTCTATTATAAAACATTTATTAAAGCATAGATCATCTCAGAAGCTGGGGTTTTTCAGGGTTGACTGTGAATATATATTTATATAGGGACCTAACTATAACTGCATAGAAATAATAACTACAATTTTTAGAAAATTTTTGATGTGCCAGTCGATGTTCTGAGTGATTCACATGATTTATCTAATTGAGTCTTCACATCAATCCTGTGACATAGGAAGTATTATCAAACCCAGTGATAGAGAACAAAACTGAGACACAGAAAGATTAAGTCATTTTCCCACCTGGCTTGTGGTAGCAAGGCTGGGATTTAGAGATAGGTAATCTGTTTCATCTAGCAATCCCACTAGGGGGTATTTACCCAAAGGAAAAAAATCATTTTATCAAAAAGACACATGCACTTGAATGTTTATTGCAGCACAATTCACAATCATAGAGATGTGGAATCAACCTAACTGCCCATCAATACATGAGTGTATTAATAAAATGTGGTATATGTCTACTATGGAGTACAACACAGCCATAAAAATGGTAAACTAATACCTTTTTAACAACCTGGATGGAACTAAAGACCATTCTAAGCAAAATACCTCAAGAATGGAAAAACAAACACTACATGTATTTACTATTAAATTGCAACTAATTTATCAACAACTATATATATGTATATGGTAGTAAAACTCAATGGAAACCAAGGAGGTGAGAGTGGCTGGGAGGGACGAGTAAATTTACACCTAACAGGTACAATGCATGCTACCTTGGTGATGGTCATACTTACAACTTTGACTCAAACTGCACAAAAGCAAATCACATAACCAAAAACATTTGTACCCCTCTAATATTCTGAAATAAAAAAAGAAAAACAAAGATAGGTAATCTAACTTCAGAATGCTTGTGCTTTACACCCACTATCTTACTGGAACTTAGTAACAGAATTAGCACTGGAAAGTCTCTAGAAAGCACTCACTCCAATTTTTCTTCACTTTGAAGATGAGAAAACCAAAGCTCACAGTTAAGAGATGCAGAGCCTGAACTGGACCCACATCCAGTTTAGTTCTAGTTCTCTTTCACCTTTACTGTGCCATCCCTATCTGCTTAGGATGGATGGATGGATAGATAGATAGATAGATAGACAGACAGACAGACAGACAGACAGATAGATAGATAGATAGATAGATAGATAGATAGATAGATAGATAGATAGATATGTTCTGTCCATCCTGGGAACACAGCTGTAGACCTAATTGATCAAAGTATACTTTCATTGTATCAAAAATCAATTGACCAAAAATGTTAACATTTCAGATATGAGGTAATCAGGTTACATGGCTTTTCTTGAAGGATCATTGGGTTCAGCATCAGTCAGGGGAAATGATGATTTAATTATACTTTTAAGCATTGTTTACCATGAAATAAAAAAAGAGGAGCTTATTAAATCTTACCCTTGCATACTTTTTTCTGTTCTTGGATTCACTTTGATGAGGTTATTAAGGTCTTTTGCACTTCAATCAAAAAAACAAAAACATGATGAATAAAAATAGACTTAAGTCAATTGGCTATTTTGATTAAAAGGATATATGTGCTCAAAATGAATTACACTATTAAGTTAGGGTTAGGGTTAAGACTGAGCAAAATTTTGACCTTCATACAAGTCATTGGTATAGTGGCTTAGTTTCCCATTTATCCTCAAAATTAAACCATAAAATTATTGCAAGATTGTGTTTTTAAAAAATAATAAATTTACAAACAATGTAATGATTTGCTAAGAACTCTCACCTGGTCCCCCTAAGCATTACATCCAATGCTATAGCTGTAACTAAACTATGTTTTGTTAATAATTTCCATTTTTAATAACTTTTTGTTTTAAACAGATTTTTATATCCATTATATCATTCAATCCTCACAACTGTCAAGTGACAAAGAACAAACATTATGATCCTCATTTTATAACGAAAGAAGCTTCCACTCAGTGTTTAAGGGACTTGCTCAAAGACACCCAGATGGTAAGTAATGGAGTTCAGACTTTCTGATTCCAATCCAGGGGCTTTTCAATACATTTTCTCTCATGAGTACCACAAATTGATGGAGAGGGGCAAGGAAGAGAAATAAGGCATAATCCTCACCCTTGGTTACTTCTATTCACCTCCGGTGTCACTTTGATGAGATTGTCAACGCTTTGCCCCCTTTAAAACATTGAAAATATAGTGAGGTTAATGGTAGATTGACAACAAGTGCATAAAACTATTAATTAAAACTCAGAAACAGTATAAACACTCATTAATATCACACCAGATAATTGAAGATTGTTAAAGGTGACTATCCAGAAGTATACATCTCTGAAACTCATTCGGACTCAGGGAAACATTTTAATTTCAGAGTCATTGGCCACTAGTGAGTACTGAACTAAGACTCTCTATTTGGATGCACTTAATGCTATGCTTTCAGCCTTTGGCAGGTGCACAAAACATCTTTGTAACTTAGTGTATATACTTATCTGATGAAACATTCCATAAGGCATATTCTCTTACTATCAACCTCCAACATGTGGAACTTTAAAACCAACTTTGGAGAATTTGTGTTTTCTTAAATTGACATCCATTAGCAGATTATCTATCATAAAACTGTATTAAGATTAATATACCAATATGTTAAAAATCCATAATATACAGCCTGGTGTCTGGTTTTGGTATTTAAAACTGTGTGTTAGAACTACAAATTGTGACTTGTTTTGGCAACAGAAAATAGGAAGATTAAAATCTATAGAGTTCTGAAACATTCTGAAATGTAAGCTATATCTGTTATCTAAAACTCCACGCAGTCACTGAAAACACTTTAGTAGTTTATTGTTACCCTTTAGTGTATGCCTGTTTCTCATCTTAATGGAATTTTGCTTTCCTTATTGCATCTACATGTGTTTTTTACATACCAGCAGCACCAACAAAAACTGCTCTGATCTATAGAAGATGCCAGATGGGGAAAAGAACATACACAGGAAGATGCTTTCACAATCTGCTTCTCCATACTCTGTGACCCTACTCGGATCATGTCAAAAAGTCTCTGAGGTTTTGTCTATACAACATTAAAGATACAGATATTTTGAATAAGCCAGATGTTGATTCAAGTTTTTTGTTTGTATCCAGATGTTTGAGAATATGATACCCAGACTGAGAGCAGCAATAAAACATTTGGACCTTTGTTATGCAAATAATGAAACAATTAGCCCCACAGAAACAACCACCCTACTCCAGATTACCCCTTGTTGATTTTTGCCTAAATGAAGTATGTGGGATTTGAATGCCAGTGACTGAGAAAAAGAATTCCCAGAATGCTATCCTCAGATTTGAATATTTAAAAAAGTAACAGAACAGTAAGCATTAGAACTCCTCCTTTTGCTTGTGTTGGTTGTGGAGTTTGCTTTGATTATATTGTCAAGAACTTTGATCTCTTTAAACATTAACAAAGCACATAACAGTATAAGGCTATTTAAATTTCATAGTTCACAAAGTTGGTGAAGAAGAGTGGGTTAATTAATGTTGCAGTCTACTAATGAATGTAATAATGTAAAATAATATTTGAGTTTAACTGTGTGAAGCAATGCCTCATAGTGAGTGTATATGTCTTCAGTATTTATATATTCTTTTACTCCACAAATTGTTTTGGAAAGCCCTCTACAGGCCAGGCGCTGCTCCCAGTGCCCGGGTAAATGCGAACAATACAGACACAAGATTAGACCTCCTGAGGATTACGGTGTAACTTGGGAAGAGGCAGGCAATGTTCAATGAAACATAAATGAATGCCACAATTCCACATAATCGTACATGCTATTAAGAAAATAAAAAAGAGTGCCCAGTGCCTGTATACTGGGAATGCAGAAGGAGATGGTGACATAATTATGTTCAGTGGTCAGAAATGACCTGTTTGAGAAGGTGACAATATGGAGATAGAGCATTCAAGAAAATGGGAACAGCATATGCAGAAGCCTTAAGGCAGGAATGAGCTTGGAATAGAAAAAGATCAATTTGGCTGGGCTTTATTGAGAAAGCAAAAGGCCATCGCTAAACGTTAGAATTTTATTCTACTTGAGATGAGAGAACATTGAAAGTTTTTAATAAGGGAGTGAACATGATCTGACTTTATTTTTAAAAGAGCTACAGAACCTCATTATGTGTAGAAAAAGGAAGGAAATGATAACTGGAGTTTGCTTTGGGAAACCTCAGGAAGCACACATACAAATGCAGACACCTGTACATACACTACACATATGCTCAAATATACACCGGTAAACACACATTCATGTACACGTGCACTCATATACACACAAAAGCACACACATGCATACATATATACTCATGAACACACAAATATTGTGCACATGTATGTACTCACGTACATGTACAATGTACACACGTGCATGTACACTCACATACACACATATGCAAACACATGTGTACACACACTCATGAGCATACAAGCATATGCTCATATGGATTTACACATGCACACAAATATCTGTATGCTTTCACACATGTGTACACACATATGCATACAACAACATATAAAGAAAAATAGGTCACAATTTGAAACACTCTAATAAAAATTAGAAAGGAAAACATGGATTTTCCTTGGATAGTCAAAATAAACTAAATATTTGAACACTAAATCATTAGGAAAACATAATTCACCTGAATATTATTATAAATAATTACTTATATCTACTATGTGCCAGGCATGAGAGTATTATAATCCCTCTTTTGTAAATGAGTAAATTGAAGCACAGGGACACAGTTAGCAAGTGACAGAGTCAGAATTTGAACCCAGGTCTTTCCAACTCCTTGCTCACAATTACTACCTCGGGTTACCTCCCTGAACCACCCAGGTAGCCAAGGAAATCAATGCTTTCTTTTCAGTCTGTTGGTTGCAAGACCGTGCAAACCTCTAACTCCTTGGGTCACTGTGCCTTTGACCAGGCCACCCTGCCATGAGCAGGACAGCTTGGCAGTGTATACAACAGCTTTTCAGCTCACTGAGCCCTTGCTCAGCCAACTGGGCCTGTGGGCATCCGTGACACATTTTAGAATCAACAAATAATATCATGTACCGAGTTAACTAAATGGAAAAAAGTTCAAGGGAAACCACATGGAATTATTTGGTACACCATTTTCAGCAATATGCCAACAAGCTCAGTTTCAAAAATATTCCATCTGCTTTTTGAAAAATACAAAGCCAAGGGGACAAAAACTCTCCAGACTTACTTGACAATTCATGGGTAAGAGAACTCTTTTAACAAAGTACACTTTGTTAAGCTCTTCATCTTTAAATACAGATTACACTACATACACATACACACACTACACACAAATACACTATTCATGTACACACAGTTCACACATCTACATGTATACATACACACATGCTACTTATACACATATGTACGTATAGACACACTATTGATACATACACACATTACTTATATAAACACACATACTTAAATACACACACTACTTATACATATAAACATACACTTATACATAAACACTACTTATACATACATACATATACGCACAGGTACTCACACATACATACAAAAATCATTTAGCTCAGTAGAGAAAGTCAGTCAAAATTTCTATTTAACTTCTCGAAATTATTTGGTAGCAATTTCACCCAAAAATAAGATGCAAGAGACTTAAGTGCATCACTTATATAAAATTGTTTAATATGATGTGTTAGAGGTAAAAAGTGCTCAGTTTTGGCTTGAGTTTCAATTTATTCTCTGAATACAAGCACTCAGAATTCTAATGTGCTTATAAACATCAGACAAAGGGGGAAGAGCTTTAAATGTCTTACCTCCTCATATTTTTATTTGTTTCAGGATTCACTTTAAGAAGTCCATCGAGGTCTTGTTTTCTTTGAATAAGGAAATAAATTTTAGTGAATGTGGTTAAAATGAAATACTAATCAAGTGAATAATGGTAGGAAAAATTAAGCAGTTTCAATACAAGTTCTCTATATCAATGTAAAATTTTAAAGCTCTAAATGCAAATAAAATTCTTTTCTTACATCTTGAGGTGAAGACCATTTAAGGTTGCTTATTTGTTAACAAGCAACATATGTTTTTACTTTTGTTCTCAAAAATGCATAAGTATATGCAAAACTTGTTATTTAACAAAATCAACTTTGCCCTCAGAGACCTCTTATTAGAACACTCAGAACAGGCAGCATTTTAGTAATATTAGATAAGTTCTATACTAGATCCAGACAAAATATAAATTTCTATTCAACAAATCAAATACAATCACCTATTCTGTTTTTAAATAGTAAGAATAATGTCAAGAATAACAATTTAATAATAATAATTTAACAATATTAAAAATAATAAGAAGATTATATGCCTTCATATAAACTCAACTATCTCTCCAGCCCAAATCTTGTCAAAATATCATTTGCCTCAAGGTAGATGATGGTGAGTAGGAAGGGGCAAGAAAAAACACTTCACATAGTAGGAAAATTAATGATCCACTTCCCAGGGGGACACACACCATCCCATTAAAATGCACTGAGTGATAACAAAAGGGGTATAGTTAAATGCAAAGGGACAGCAGGGACGGCAGAAGCATTGCAATTGGGTGCTGCTGCTGTGTCAGCCTATCTCTGAACAGGACACAAAGAGTGGGAGGTCCTCACTCCCTGAGCATAGCTGCCCAGCCTCTCTCCCAGGCTGCCTCGTGGGGCCACCATCCTTAGAAAAGTTGATTTACAAGAGCTTTGGTCAAGACTCCACTCTTGGCTCTCTTTGTCCTATTGGAAATCCACTTTGAAAATTTTGCCAAGACTGTTCTTTAGACATAAATTCAATTCAACTCAGCCCTAAAAGCAATCAAACCCCAAAATCTAGGAGAAAAGGCAATTTGCTATCAAACATTGGGACAATTCTTCAAAAAGAAGCGGTTTTGTTGAGGGCAAGAAGGGACAGCTGTGTGGCCCATCTTTATTGCCCAATTCCATGCGAATAAAATATGGCTATGAAGCTAAAAAGCCAAATCATTTTATCTTCTGATTGATCATCTGATCGTCACTCATAGAAACCAGAATTAAAGATGCTGATAAGTCTTACCCAGTGGTATTTTCATTTCCTTTCTGATTCACTTTGATAACATTATCAAGGTCTTCACCTCTTTTATAAAAAAAAAAAATTTAGGTCAGTTTCAAAATATTCCCATAATATTAGATATATACACATTCCATATTCTTGATGATTAATTCAAATGTTTGGAGAAAATTATTATGCTGATATTAAATTGACTTTTAGGATAAAATTCCCTGTCAATAATATAAATTAATCTTTAGGGTTTTACTGGGCTATATATAAATGCAAATTTAGTTAGAATATACTATAGACTCTTTGAGTAAATATTCTGTAGACTCTTTGAGTAAAGATCAGGACACTGGGGATCAGACACAAAAGATAAAAGACAGAATCAAAGATGTGATGCCCTCAGTATCACTGAGAAGATCACACAATTAATCTGGGAGAAAATAATCAATATTCAAAGACATCCAAGCAGTTCTTACCTTCTGCTGGTTTTGTCTGTCCTGGCATTCACTTTGATAACAGATTCGAGATCTTGGCTTCTTTGGAAAAAACACCAAAACTTTACATCAGTTAGGTTACATATGATTTTCTCTAAAATCTGTATAAATAAGAATGTACCTGAACGTGGTATCAGATACTTTCAGGGCCAAAATGACCAAAAAGACCTTTGATATAATTAGCTTTAACTTATCTTTATTAATTTCTACAATAGTGTTTGATTTAAACTAGTCTAAATCAGTTTAGAAAGACTTCTCAACATGCCTCTAACTTTGTCCTTTATATTTCTTAATTTCAAAAAAAACTTGACTTTTTTTTAATTATTTAAGAAAATATAGAATAAGAGATTATGTAACATGTTTTGTCCTGCACCTACTTCAATTGCAGCACCAATATGTGGTCCTATGGAAACAGCACTCATCATATTCCTTTCACCTACTATCTCTGATGGCTCTAAACAGTGCAAGAATTCACTCCCATTTGTGATGAGGTGTAAAAAGCTAACCTGTAAAAAGAAAGCCCCATAAAAATAGGAGATTTACTTACCCCTTCTCATTTTTGTCAGTCCTTTGATTAACTTTAATAAGACTTCCAAGACCTTGGGTTCTTTATAACATTGGAAAAAAGAAAAGATAGAGCAAGGGGGGAGAGAGAGAGAGACAGAGAGACAGAGAGACAGAGAGAGAGAAGTAAGAGCAACTCGATGATATATTCAGAATCTTTTATGACAACAGCAGATTTTCTACAACAGAAGATGTAATCAGTGCCTAAAGGATCAGAAGTCCTTGGAAATATTTAATTCAAGTGGCTCTCTTCATCATACAAAATGCCAAAGAGACAGCTTGATACTAAGATACCAACCATTACTCAGTTATGATTGAATCAATTTAAAAGTAAAAGTTTTCGCCAGGCCTCAGCCTTTATTTTCTTGAGTGTGGGTTGGTAGGAGGTTCACTTTAATATAAATATTGCAATATTATCTTATTTAAGCATGGCAATCATTTATATGAGGGGTAGAAATCAATTGATCGGCATTTTAAGTTTAAATACTTTGAGGATTTAGACAAACCATTTCTCCTAAAAAGGTCAAGGGCGTATTTATTAAAGGGTCTGAAGCTACCTTGAAAAGGTCAAAATTACTATTATAGCTCCAGTACTTTACATAAACTGAACAAATGGAATAAAACTTTCACATACCAATGACTAAAAATTATAAGAGAACATAAAAGCTAATCCCTCTAAATTCCTTAATTTTCCAAGTGTCACACTTCCATGTTTATCTGTCTCTGATTCCACTATGATAAGACTGCTGACACTTTAAGTTCTTTCAATATAAGAAAGAATGAAGGGAGGGAGGGAAGAAGGAAAAAGAACTAGGACTCTTTTCCTATCACACCAATGAGATCAGTTATTACTGCATCGAAGCCCAGTTGCTATCAAGCTATCCTAGATTAGAAATCGCCTCTCTTTTTTCCTTTTTCCTAGCCCACAAAATGATCTACTTGTGGTGCTCATCCTACTTTTCCCATTGTCCACCACTTCTGTGGAACTTTCCAAACTCTATTTTTTAAAATACTTGAAATTTCATCTATTGTTGTTAAGCTCATATAGCCATGTACAGTGTTTCTACCTTCATCTATTCTATATTTGGGGGAAAAAAGTCACCTGCAGTATGTTGGCATGTTTACATAATATAAGATGTTGTTAATTAGCATTTAATGTCTGTGTGATGGTTACTGCCAACACTTTTCATTATATAGACTTTGTTAAGTATTCTACATCAGAAAGCATTGAGAATGCATCTGCCAAAATTGACTTGGAAAGCTAGAATACCATTCTGGGCACAGATTGGCACAGATAAATGGTTTATAAAAATAACTGTGACAATAGAAATAATTCTCATGTTAGAAAGGCAAATTTAGTGACTAACTAAATCCGAAGTAAACAGCAAATCTGGGGAGAAAATAGTAGAGATCTCATAAATCCTTACCCTTTGCCATTTCTTGACTATTCTGGAAATTTCTTTAATGAAACTGTTAATACTTTAGTTTCTTTCAACAAGCAAAATAATATAGTAATGGAATTCACTTTTCTAGTATATGAGCATCAGGCTAAAACTATAAGTTAATCTCTTAGATGCTATCAGGTCAGTTACTCATCATTAATTAACTCATTTTTTATGACATGAAATAAAAGCATGGCCTTAAGATATTTACAAATACATCTGAAGAGATACACATGTGAAGTGACCCAACCAAGATTCCAGCCAAACAGTGCCTTAGTACATTCTAAAGACTTCAGTGGTAAGGGGCTATGTCCCTAGCACCTAAATGTCTTCTCATAAATGTATTTAGTTCATAAACCAGCCCACTGTCCTCTAATTGTAACAGCTAGTTGTATTTCTTTCAATTGTAGATATAAAAGGGAACTTGGAGATCATTTAGGTCATGCCCTTCATTTTATGGGATGAGGAAACAGAAGGTAAGTGATGTGCCCAGGTCACCCAGATTGATGTTGGTGGCAGAGCCAGCACTATTTCCTGACCCTGATCTGAGGCCAGTGCTACCAGCCTGTCCCCCAGAAAATAGTATACAGTCTAGGATTCAATCAAAATGACCTGTCTTAATAAAATCTTACTCTTTGCCATCTTTGTCTGTCCGGGTATTCACATAGATGAGGCTTTCAAGGCTTTTGGCTCTGAAAACACAAAGAAATTCAAATAAAAGACTGCATATTGCAATGAAATTGTGTGGTATCTTGAAAGGTCAGGTACAATAAACATTCCTCATGAATTGCTTATTTATTCTTATTGAATGGAAGAGCAGAAATCCCTCTGGGCAATTATGTCTGCACTAAATGTACAATGCTGAGAGCATTGTACATTTGCTAGTACATTTCCATGTCAGAGGATACAACTCCCTTGCAGCTAATGTCTAAAGGAATAAGATAAGCAATCTGAGAGACAAGATTTTCAGATTAGAGAAAGATGCACTTACCTTTTCGCTGTTTCCTCTGCCTTCAGATTTGCTCTGAAGATACCGTCAAGACCTTGATTTCTTTAAATGTATTAATTAAAAAAAAACCTTGTCAGTGGGAATAAAAGATGTTTAGCTTCATAAGAATATAGACCAGTTTACATCTAAGACACGAAATAAAAGCTGGCTGGGAAAGATGAGCAACAATGCTTGAAATTGGCTTTATTCCAAATAGGTCTTTTTCGCAGACTCAAGAGTTTAAATTGCAGTGGACCTTAGAAAAAATAAAATAATAAAAGATACAAACTGGGGATCTGCAAGCCACAATAGGTCCATAGATGTGTTGTTTGGGTTCAGGGAGCATTTCTATTTTTAATGTGAGCCAGTGTTTACAAAGATGGCCATGACACATAGAAACCTGGATTTTCAGGATCTGCTGAAAATGTCCTGCAAATTGGATTCAGTGGAAACGCTCAGCTGGAGCTGAGAAGCAGCCAGGTTATTTAGAAAGGACATCTCTTCTCCTTTGTAGCCTAGTTCTCCCAGCACCTGTTCCTTAGAATCAGCCCCCTTCACTCACACCTGTCTGGCCTCAGGAGGCCGTGGAGTCTGCAACTCCTGAACTAATATCTCCCCTCTTTGTAGATGAGAGAACTGAAAACCAGCAAGTTTAAGTGACCATTATTGTCAGTACAGGGTAAGAAAACACATCTTGTGATCCTCAGATCAATTAATCCGTCTGACATTTGCTTAGTCTTTTTCTTCTCTTTGATCCCCGCCCATTTGGTAGGTTAGTGTGCAAAGAAACACAGAGATAGCTAACTAACATGGACACACCTCTCACACAAACATCGATTATTTTTTTTTTTTCTCTTGCAAATTTCAAGTTATGCAATCATAAATGATTCAAAATAAGGAGACAATGTTAACTAAGATAATAAATTCTTGTAATGGTTAAACTAAAAGTACATTCAGTGATCCAACCAAACTCTGTTTACATATTAGTGAAGTAATATTTCAGGAAGAGAAATGTGGTTATTTATATAACTGCCTTAATAAATCAAGGACATTTTTTTTTTTAATTATTGCATATTGGGGTACAGATTTTATGTCAATAAATGCCCATTCCCCCCTCCCAAAAGTCTGATCTCCATCATGACCATCCCCCAGATGGGCACATCTCACTCATTATGTATGTATATACCCCCTCCCTCCCCATCTGCCCAATACCATTACTGTATACCTATGTGTCCACTTAGGTGCTATCAGTTAATACAGTTTCTTGGAGAAATATATCTGGTGCTTGTTTTCCATTCTTGGGATACTTCACTTAGTAGTATGGTTCCAGCTCTAACCAGGAATATAAGATGTGCTATATCACCATTGTTTCTTAGAGCTGATAAGTACTCCATGGTATACATATACACCATTTTATAATCCATTCTTGGATTGATGCACTTGGCTGTTTCCACAGCCTTGCAATTATGAATTGGCTGCTATAAACATCGAGTGCAGGTGTCTTTTTGTAGAGTGTCACTGGATCATTTGGGTAGATGCCCAGCAATGGATTGCGGATCAAAGGTAGATTCACTTGATCGCTTTAAAGGATCTCCATATGCTTTCCACAAGGTTGAACTAGTTTGCAGTCCCACCACAGTGTAGGAGTGTTCCTCCTCTCCGCAACCCGCAGCATTTATGTTTGAGATTTTTGATAAAGCCATCTCACTGGTTAAGTGATATCTCATTGTAGTTTGATTGCATTCCTGATGATTAGAGATGTGAGCATTTCTTATAGTTTTGTTGGCCATTTCTTCTGTCTTCTTTAGAAAAATTCTGTTCAGTCTTTGCCCACTTTTAATGGTTATTTGATTTTCTTCCTAATTTTCTGAGTTCTAAGTATATTCTAGTTATCAGTCCCTTATCGATGCATAGGATGCAAAATTTCTCCCATTCTGTAGGTGTCTGTTTATTTCATGACTATTCTTTGGCTGTGCAGAAGCTTTTAGTTGATAATCCCATTTATTTTTTTGTTGCTCTGTGATTGCCTTTGGTGGACTTCTTCATAAAGTCTTTGCCTAGGCCATGTCTAGGAGATGGTTCCAACTTTTTCCTCTAGAGTCTAATAGTTCATATCTTAGGTTAAGTCTGTTATCCAGCGTGAGTTGGTTTTGTGAGAGGTGAAAGGTGTGGGTCCTGTTTTAGCCTTCTACAGGTGGCTTCCAGTTTTCCCAGCACCATTTATTGAAGAGAGATCTTTTCCCCAGCGTATGTTTTTGTCTGTTTCAAAGATGAGATGGCTATATGAGATGTTTTATATCAGGATTCCACATCTGTTCCACTGTCATATTCCTGTTTTGTGCCAATACCATATTGTTTTAATTACTACAGCTTGTAGTATAGTTGATATATGCATATAATGCTCCCATTTTTTTTTTGTTTTTTTTTCTTCTTTTTTTTATTTTGGCATATTATGGGAGTACAGATTTTAGGTTCAATAAATGCCCATTTCCCCCTCCCCCAAAAGTCTGAGTCTCCCATCATGACCATCCCCAGATGCACATCACTCATTTAGTATGTATATACACCCCGCCCCCTCCCCAATACCTATTACTGTACACCTGTGTGCCACTTAGGTGCTACTCAGTTAATACCAGTTTGCTGAGAATATATCTGGTGCTTGTTTTCATTCTTGGGATACTCACTTAGTAGTAGGTTCCAGCTCTAACCAGGAAAATAAAGTGCTATATCACCGTTGTTTCTTAGAGCTGAATAGTACTCCATGGTATACATATACCACATTTTATTAACCATTCTTGGATTGAGGGCACTTGGGCTGTTTCCACACCTTGCAATATGAATTGTGCTGCTATAAACATTCGTGCAGGTGTCTTTTTGTAGAGTGTCACTGGATCATTTGGTAGATGCCCAGCAATGGATTGCTGGATCAAATGGTAGATTCACTTGTATCGCTTTAAGGTATCTCATATTGCTTTCCACAGAGGTGAACTAGTTGCAGTTCCACCAGCAGTGTAGGAGTTCCTCTCTCTCCACAACACGCAGCATTTGTTATTGGAGACTTTTTGATAAAGGCCATTCTCACTGGATTAAGTGATATCTCATTGTAGTTTTGATTTGCATTTCCCTGATGATTAGGGATGGAGCATTTTTCATATGTTGTTGCCATTCTTCTGTCTTCTTTGAAAAGTTCTGTTCATGTCCTTTGCCCACTTTTTAATAGGTATTGATTTTTTCTTGTGATTTCGGAGTTCTAAGTATATTCTAGTTATCATCTTTATCGGATACATAGGATGCAAAATTTTCCCATCTCGTAGTTGTCTGTTTACTTTCATGACTGTTTCTTTGGCTGTGCAGAAGCTTTGTAGTTCATCATGTCCCATTTATTTATTTTGTTGCTGCTTGATGCCTTTGGATTTCTTCATAAACTCTTGCCAGGCCGATGTCTAGAGAGTTTCCAACATTTCCTCTAGAATTTCTAATGTTTCATACCTGAGATTTAAGCTGTTATCCACGTGAGTTGATTTTGTGAGGGGATAAAGTGTGGGTCTTTTTAACCTTCTACAAGTGGCTATCCAGTTTCCAGCACCATTATTGAAAAGGGATCTTTCCCCAGCGTATGTTTTGTCTACTTTGTCAAAGATGATGGCATATGATGGATGTTTTATATCAGGATTCTCACATCTGTTCCACTGGTCAATATTCCTGTTTTTGTGCCAATACCATATTGTTTAATTATACAGCTTTGTAGTATAGTTTGATATCTGCATATTAATGCCTCCTTTGTTTTTGTGCCTAGAATTGCTCTTGTATTTCGGGTCTTCTTTGGTTCCATAGAAGCGTAAATTATTTGTTTCTAATCTGATGAGAATGCTGTGGATTTTAATAGGTATTGCTTGAATCTGTAGATCAGTTTGGGTATATAGACTTTGATGATATGAGTCTGCGATCCACGAGCATGGTAGATTCCATCTGTTTACATCCTCTGCTATTTCCTTCCTCAGTGTTTCATAGTTCTCCCTGTAGAGGTCTTTCCTCTTTGGTTAAAATAATTCCTAGGTACTTAATTTCTTTGTTGCTATTGTGAAGGAATTGAGTCTTGATTTGTTCTCAATTAGATTGTGTTGCGTATATGAATGCCTCTGATTCTGTGTATTAATTTTGTATCTGAGACTTGACTAAATTCATTGATCAGTCCAGAGTTCTTGGTGAATTCCTTGGGGTTTCGAGATACAATATCAATCATCAGCAAACAGTGAAAGTTTGATCTCTTCTGCCCTAATTTGGATACCTTTGTTCCATTTTCCTGTCTGATTGCTGTAGCCAAGACTTCCAGCACTATGTGAAGAAGTGGAGATAGTGGCAGCCTTGTCTGGTTCCAGTTCTAAGTGAGAATGATTTCAATCTTTCCCATTCAGTATGATGTGGCTATGGTCTGTCATATATGGCTTATCATTTTAGGTATGTCCCTTCTATGCCTATTTTCTTAAGTTTCGTATCATGAAAGGGTGTTGAATTTGTCAAAACTTTTCTGCATCTATTGAAAGAATCATGTGTCTTGTTTGCTTCTGTTGATGTGTGAATTGCATTTATAGATTTACGTATGTTGAACCATCCTGCATCCCTGGATGAAGCCCACTGGTCGTGTGGATATTTTTTGATAAGTGTCTGGTTCGGTTAGCTAAGATTTTTTGAAAATTTTTGCATCTATATCATTAGATATGGTCTTATTTCTTTTTTGTTGCAGTCCTTTCCTGGTTTTGGTATCAGAGTAATATTCGCTTCATAAAAGGTGTCGGGGAGGTTTCCGTTCTTCTCGATGTTGTGGAATAGTTTCTGCAAGATAGGTACTAGTTCTTCTTTGTAAGTATGGTAAATTCAGTGTGAAACCATCGGACGGCTTTCTTTTTAGGAGATTTATATTGCTGTTTCTATTTCAGCTGTTGAGTTGCTGTTCAGGGAATCTATTTCCTGGTTGAGCCTAGGGAGCTGGTGTTTCTAGAAATTTGTCCATTTCCTCCACATTTTCCAGTTTGTGTGCATAAAGATTTTGTAGTATTCATAAATTGTACTTGTCTCTTTGGATCAGTTGTGATATCTCCTTTTTTATTCCTGATGGAGCTTATTAGAGATTCTCTTTCTGCTTTCGTTAGCTTAGCAATGGTTGTCAATTTGTTTATTTTTCAAAGAACCACTTTTGTTTTATAATCTCCGAATAGCTTTCCTGTTTTCAATTTCGTTAGTTCTGATTGATCTTGTTGATTTCACTTTTCTGCTGGGTTTGGGGTTGGTCTGTTCTTCTTTTTCCAGCTCTTTGATCGTTCATTAAATTGTCTATTTGTGATCTTCTTGTCTTTTGGTTATAGCATTTATGGAGATAAACTTTCCTCTCAGAACTGGCTTTAGCTGTGTCCCAGAGGAGTTGATAACTTGTCTCTCCATTGTCGTTTTCTTCATAGAAGTTTTTATTTCTGTCTGATTTCTTCATTTACGAAGTAATATTTAGTAGAGGTTGTTTAATTTCACGTTTTTGTGTAGAAATGTGAGTTCTGTTAGGTTGATTTCTAGTTTATTCCACTGTGATCTGAGAAGTACATGGTATGATTTCTATTTTTTAATTTTGAGATTTTCTTGTGTCCTAGATATGGTCAATCTTAGAGAATGTCCCGTGAGCTGATGAGAAGAACGTAGTATTCAGTGGATTTTGGTAGATGTTCTTAGATGTCTGTCAGACCAATTGTTCTAGAGTTTGTTAAGTCCATTATTTTTATTAATTTTCTGTTTGGAGGATCTGTCTCGTGCCGTCAGTGGGGTGTTGAATCTCGTGATTATGGAGTTGCTATTAATCCATTTGCTTAGCTCCAGTAAGTTTGCTTTATGAATCTGGGTGCACCTAAGTTGGGTGCATATATATTTAAAATGTTATCTCTTCTTGTTGGACTGTGCCCTTCACCATTATATAATGACCCTCTTGTCTTTTTACTACTTTGTTGGTTTAAAAACTAAATCGTCTGAAATTAGAACTGCCACACCAGCTTCTTTTGGCTTCTATTGCTTGGAATATTGATCTCCACCCTTTTATTTTTAGTCTATATGCATCCTTGCAGGTTAGATGTGTCCTGAAGACAGCATATACTTGCCTGTATTCTTATCCATTCAGCCAGCCTAGTTCTCTTGAGTGGAGAGTTTAAGCCATTCCACTTTATTGAGAGAACTGATAGGTAAGGTAGATTACTGATCATTCTGTTGGGTTGGATGTTGTTGCTATGATTTCTGTCTTGAGCCATTGTAATATCTGGCCTTTAATATCTTTGGTTTTGGTTGTTTATATCGTGGGTTATTTTATGATGTCCGTGCATTAACGCTGTTTTAAGTACTTCTTGTAGGGGGTCTTGTCTTGGTGAATTCTCTGAGCCTTTGCTTGTCTGAGAATGTTTTTATTCTCCTTCATATACGAAGCTTAGTTTTGCAGGGAATAATATTCTAGGCTGGCATTGTTTTGTTTCAAAAAGTGAATGGGGCCCAGTCTCTCCTGTTGTAAGTCTCATTAGAGAAGTCTGATGTATTCGAATTGGCTTTCCTTGATGTTACTTGCTTCTTTTGTCTTACAGCTCTTAGAAGGCTCTTTAGTTGATACTTTGGTCAGTCTGATGACTGCATGTCGTGACGTCTTCCTGTTTGCGTTGAATCTCCCAGGGTCCTCTGAGCTTCTTGAACTTGTATATCAAGTTTGAGCAAGGCTGGGATTTTCCTCTATTATATCTTCAAACAGCTTGTCCAACCTTGAGTGTTGCTTCTTCCCTTCCTGTAACCCTATGACCCTCACATTAGGTTTCTTCACATAATCCCACAGCTCTTGTAGGCTTTGCTCTTTTCTCTTGTTCTCTGCTCTATTCTGTGACTGATTTATTTAATTGGAGGGTGTTATCTTCAAGCTCTGAGATTCTTTCTTCTGCTTCATCTACCCTGTTCTTGAGACTTCCACTGTATTTTGTATCCTTGAATTGATTCTTCATTTCCAGGAGTTGGTTACACTTTTCTTCAATGTGTCTATTTCTTTTCTCATATCCTGGAGACTTTTTGTGGTTTCTTGGTGTGGTTGTTGAGTTGTTGTTGCAGCGGGTGAGTGTTCTTATGTTCCACATACGAAATTCCTCTTCTGTCATATTGGTTGCCTGATTTTGGTCGGTGTCCGTTTCTAGGGGCTGGTGCTCCTCTTGGGGTGTGTTTCCGTTTGTTTCTTCATATTTCCTGAGTTCTTTCCGCTGATTTCTTCCCATGTCGATCATGTTGTGTTCTTTCCTTAGGTTATTGTTTGGGTATTCAACACCTTGTTTAGTTTCTGAGGCGTTAGGTGGTGCCTTGCGCTGGTCTCCGGGCTGCTCCGTGTCTCAGCCTCCTGTTCTCCTCCGCAGCCTCCTCCGTGTTGTCTCCGGGGTCTCAGGTACCCTCCTTCCGGCCTTGTCCGCTGTATGCTCGTCTTCTTGTTCTTTCCTCTAGTTTCTGCTAGAATCTGTCTTTTTGCAGAGACCTCTGTCTGGCGTGTATTCGCTTCCGCCCATTCAAGGACATTTTAATATTAGTAATTTTAGGCCTTTATAACCATTCATAATAATAATGAAATGATGGTGATTTCTGTAAGCTTTTTATTTAAGATTTGTAGGATACTTTTGACTAGCCTGGTATGTGGGTCCTTATGCTCAAAGACCAAAAATACCTAAGAAGTCATAATATGCAGTTCAATAATAAAGCCAAAAATAGACATTTAAAAATCTTACCTATTCAAGCTTTTGTTCATTTCGATGAGATTATCCAATTCTTCACTTTTGGAAGAGAAAAAATCTCACATTAGTAAAAGCCTGCCCAGAGTCAAGGAATAAATTCAACTTAAAATAACTCTGAGTTCTCTGAAATACAACACATGCCCCACCCCCTTTATAATCTGTGAAAATCTTGATTATCCTTCAAGGTTCTTCTTTACTACCACTTTCTCCAAGAATCCTTTCCTAATCTTCCAAGTGAATATAATCCCCTCAATTTTTTGGAACCCTTGCAGCATTTGAGTTTTCTGCATCTTCTTTATGGAAGTTCTGTCACTATACTTTGCATTATAGCCATTGCAAACTTGTCTCATGTCAATTCCCCTGCCCCTACACACACACGCACACACACATTCATACCACTTAAAATTTAGAACTGTATTTTACATTGGATCCTCTTCACTTTTTAATACAGTTTCTTTCATACAGTAGATGTTGAATACACATTTTTAATTGAATCAACAAATATCAGTACATCGGCTAATTATAGCTTTGTACAATGTACTTGCACAAAGTAGCTACTGGACAATATTTGTTCATCAGCCAGTCTGGCTTCTTTTTTGAATTCTACTCCTACCTCATTTTCAGGTCAGCTAAATTTGCTCGCCTATTTCCACATTTGAGAACCGCAAAGCCCGTTCTGCCTGCTTCTTCAGAAGCAACCTATTTAAGCTAAACTCCTGGGTTCAAGAATTTTGTTTAAACCACAAGGGCTCAGCTTTCTCCCCCAAGAAGGCAGCAGGTATGGTGGGTGGAGGTTTTGCAAAAGTGCTCTTGGTGCCTTCCTCCCGTTTCTTTTCACAGCATGTCCTCTCCCCAGTTTTTTTGTCTACACCTCTGTCCCTACTCCTTTTTCTCTTGCCTTCCTCATCTAGCTTTTCTGTTCACAAATCTTGGTTCTCCCTTATTCCTGCTCTAGAATCATGTTTTACAAGCTTTCTCAATGTTCCACTTTCTTCCTGAGTCATCTGTGGTATTGACTAAGAGGCTGTAAGACCCAGTAACCCAGAAGTTACACATTCAGGCTCCCAGGTCAAGAACACTGGAGTCCAATCCAGGATTCACCATTTATTCATTGGTGACCCTGAATGAGTTACCTACCTTCTGCTGACTCAATTTTCCCATCTGTAAAATGCGAATACTAATCTTACCCACCTCAGAAAAGAATCAATAGGCTAATGAACATAAAGTGCTAAGCATGATGCCTGGCAAGTTACAAATTCTCAATTAGTTTTGGACATTGTAATAAATAGTGCCCTGTCAATACTAAATTTTTCATTTAATAAATGCTTGCTATATTTATTTTTTAACTGCATTTAGAATCACCAAGACTTTGATTTAGCCTTAAAGAGATATAGTCACTGAGTCACTTATGTGCTTGAAGATGCCTGGCACAATATTATGGCCAGAAGAGCTGCTGAAGGCAGTCCTCTTGGAGACCCTAAAAATATCTTAAATTCACAGCCATCACATAGATGAATCCACTTGGTTCAATGGTAGGATTGAAGACCGAGAATAAACACTGAAATACAAAAGTCACTGCCTCTAACAAAAAATTGATTAATTCTCTATCCTTGTGTGGGACAAACACTACCCAGAGCCTAGACACAGTGGCCCATTATTGTTTCTTGCTTGAAATTCTACCTTCCAACTCTGAGGCTACAAATCTGTTCAAGTCCCCAAGGGAAAGAACAAACCCAAGAATCCTGTAAATTTTAGCCCCAGACCTTTCTAAATGGCATGAGTCACAATGATGAGATTATCAGGTTTAGGGGTTGCTCATGTTTATCACAAGAAAATTAGCATAAATCATGAGAAGATACCCTGTGGTAAATCAAAAAAAAATGGATACTGTATTCCAAATAAAGAACTTGAGTTTTCAAAATGACTTTAAATTGGTGAAAGCTTTGGATATTAAGTTTCACCATTGCATTTGCAACAAATTAAATGCTCTTGATCAGATAGCAGTAACACTCCATTTCACAAAGAGCAGCTCAGATAAATAAAGCAATTTCTAGTCCCTGTGGATGCCCCACAGCAACAGTACTCTGTGATGACTATGTCAATGCAACAGACATTTTCCCCCGTCCCTGTCAAGCAGTAACTTCTCTCTGTGATGAATATACCTGGCTGTGGAATTCCTGCCTTGTGGCTAGGGAATGGGGACAGGAAAGTTAAACTCACTGCACCTCTCATTGCTTCTGTTTGATTTACGCCAAACCATAATTTCCCGTCAGCACCACTCACTTATCTTTCCCCCAGACATCCCAATCACCCACCAGAAAACTGTCCAATCCCCATTGAAAACAAAATATTACCTCCAACAAAATAAATCAATAAAATTAGAGAGCTAGGCACTTAGATAAAAGAAGAAATGGAAACGGAACATTCAGGAGACTTTCTACAGTCTTGGTCTGAATTCAGAGCTTCTATGAATTTGAACAGAAAAGCCAAGTTTCACTTTTGTTTCTTCTCTTCATTTTTTTGACAGAGACTGCAATCTGTAGTAATATTTTCAGCAGTAAGGAATATTTTTGTGGGCTTGGGATTTAAATGATGGAATATTCATACTCAAGGTTATCTCACTACCTGTCATTATTTTACCATAATTTATAATATGAACACCTACTTTGCACAAAGCATCATGTCAGACACTGAAAATGGTGAATAATACAAAATATCTGCCCTCCTCTGGGAGGCTGAGGTGGGAGGATTGCTCAAGCTCAGGAGTTCAAAACCAGCCTGAGCAAGAGTGAGACCCCATCTCTACTAAAAATAGAAAGAAATTAATTGGCCAACTAAAAAAATATATATATTATATATAACATATATATATATATCTGCCCTGAGAGATTACAGAGATAAAAGATGATTTACATAAATAACATAAAACAAAGCCAAATATGATTCAGTATTTTAAAATATGAGTAGTAGGGCTCCTATAGCTTAGAGAGGCAGAAGTCACATTTTACTGAATGACTCAGGGAAGACTGACAGAGGAGGTGATATTTTATCTGGATCTTGAAAAACAGGTACTTGGATGGATTGAGATGATGGGCTAGGGGCTGGGAAAGACTGCCACGTGGCATAAACAAAAGCAGAGTATCTGGAAATTTTAGAAAGGAAGTGATTTAATTTGATATTGAATGTAGGATAAATATATGGGTGAAGTAGGAAATAACTCTGTAATGTTAGGCTTAGAGACAGGTTAGCAAGACCCTTGAATGAGGTTATATGTAATTGAATGGGCAGTAGGAAGCTGGTACAGTGATTGTTTGAGCAGAATCTTAGGGAAAATAATTCTGGCATTGATGGGCAGTAACAGTTTAGCAGAAGGAAATATTGAGGGGTCTAAGTAAATCTGAATAGCTACTCTAATAACCTATGTAGGAGTCAACGAGAGCTTAAAGGAGAGGCCATGTGGGCTTGAGGAGCATTTTAAGACCCTCAGTTCATACATGCTTGTTACTACATGGAGGATGAGAATGATTCCAAGGACCAGGCATGGTGGCTCATGCCCGTAATCTCAGTTACTTGGGAGGCTAAGGTGGGAGGATCAGTTGAGGCCAGGAGTTCGAGACTAGCCTGGGCACATTGCAAGAACCTGCCTCTACAAAAAAAAATTTTTTTAAATGATTCCAAAAAGATGAGCCTGCAGCAATGAAAGAATGAAAGAAACAGAGAATGAAAGAACAGAGAAGAAGCCAGGAAATAGCACATTTGGGACAGGCATCGAATATTTGAATATGGCCTTGGGCATTCTGAGCAGGGTGTTGGGAGACACCCTGGAGACCTAGGATGTGGCTTAACAGCTGAAGTCACTGGGATGAGTGAAATCACCAGAGGAGGCAGCAGCAGCAGAAGAGTATCCATAAATGTCAACACCACTCACTATTCAGGGGTACTCACCTTCTTTTAAATTATAAGCAAACAGCACTGGGGTTTTGTTCATATTGGAACTTTCAAAGGTACCAGTTAAGCATTTTTCAAACGCAAAGAGAAGAAAAAAACAAGCTCAAAAAAAGCTCTGAGATCTCACCCCTTGTCAGTTTTCTGAAGTGAAGTGGCCACTCTGACGATGTTGTCAAGATCCTGACTCCTTCAAACAATGACAAATGAATATAGGTCAATGACAGTAGAGCTATCTTTGAAGGCGCTGATATTTCTCATGTTTGCAGTGGAGAAAGTGATAGTCCAGATGCTGTTCAGGAATTGTTGACTTTAGCAGAAAACAAAATGGTTCTATTCTATCCGCTCATGGCACACAGAGACACGTGCATCCCCATTGACAGAAACACACACACACACACACAACACACACACACACACACTCCCCACTCTTTTTCATTTCACCTGGGTGTTGGCTCTGCCATCTAGTGCTCACTGAAATAACTACATTTTCCCCTAAGGACTTGTATTGGCAGCTCCCAAGTTTATGCTTTAAAAAAAAAAAGGCATGGAAAAGAAAATCCAGTTAGTTGCACAAGTAAACATAGAAGTGAGTTTGGAAGTTTTTCTGCTGGAGCCAAATAACATTAAGCAACAGATCCAGATAGTTAATTAGTCCCTCTAAAGGGATGAAAATATCTGTTGTCTAACGCTATAAGACAGGTAAAAGCACCTGAGACATAAAGGGCTTGGATCCATGCCAATCTCCCTGGATCATGAATAGGAATAATTAGGAAAATCTTTATAGCTTTCCTGTAATTAATAACTGTGTTTCACAAACAATATCTCATAGAAGTTTAATAAGGTTCCATGAAGAAAAGATTTTGTAGTCAAGTAAGTTTAGAAAAGGTAATCTACTTTTGGTGATTCAGAATCCACAAAATTACACTGAAGGCTGTAAAAAGTCCTGTGGCAGAGAACTCAATTTTTGTTTCCTAACTGTATCAGACCATTGAACCCTTCTTTCAGAAAGCATATATGGGCATTTCGTGTCACATGGCACACAGTTTGAGAAATGCTGAGAGTTGGACTTTAAGTTCCCAGGTACAAGGGAAACATGATTCTCCCAAAAGGTAAAGAATTTGTGTGATGTGTCTCTTTTTTTTTTTTTTTCTTTTTTGGACAGATTCTCACTCTGTTGCCTGGGCTAGAGTGCCGTAGCATCAGCCTCACTCACAGCAACCTCAAACTCCTGGGCTCAAGCAATCCTCCTGCCTCAGGCTCCCGAGTAGCTGGGACTACAGGCATGCAACACCATACCCAGCTAATTTTTTTCTATTTTTGGTAGAGACGGGGTCTTGCTCTTGCTCAGACTGGTCTTGAACTCCTGAGCTCAAACAATCCTCCCACTTTGGACTCCCAGAGTGCTAGGATTACAGGCGTGAGCCACCACACCCGGCCAGTGTGATATGTCTTTTGAACTGGGAGTCTTCTAAAAGTCAAAGGCGATAATATAAAAACACAAAAAGCATATATGTTTTGAACTTCAAAAAAATTTTTTAGTTGAAGAAATATTTTGACTAAAAATTGGTTTATTATATTGATAGACCTATAAAATAATATTGTTTAAAAACTATTTTCAACAATAGCATTTTTTTTCTAAAAAGAAAAAAAAAAACAGATATAACCAGAACAAATACTAGACAAGCTAGGGCATGCAAGACAACAAGTGTAAATCAGGACTCTCATGGGGAAACCAGACATTTGGGGAATGTCACCTTATCCAATGACATCAACACAGTTTATGTGCCTCTTCCTAAAACTACAGGAGGAGGTAGACATGACTTTGTATAGTCACCACTAGGCAAAGTTTTTGTAACACAAGGTCAACTAAACACCTGTATTTCTACCTCTTCATTTATACATCCAGACCAACTGTGTCATACACCTAGTTGGAGGTGCTGGAAATAAAGAGGAGAAAAACTATCTTTCCTTTAAGAGGTTTGATCTTATACTGTTATCATATTCAGACAATTTTAGTTGTTTTCTTACTTACTGTCTTGCATGTCCTAGCTTGTCTAGTATTTGTTCTGGTTATATCTGGTTTTATTTTCTTTTTAGAAAAAAATGCTATTGTTGAAAATAGTTTTTAAACAATATTATTTTATAGGTCTATCAATATAATAAACCAATTTTTAGCTTAGGATAGAAATGAAAGAAACAAAATTCTATAAGTACTTATAAAAACACTTATTATCCACCATATTGAAGTCAGCTGGAAAATGGATTTCATCTACTTTATATTACATTCTACTTTATGTAACATTTTATATTTTTAAACTGTTTTAATAAAGCATACTCTATCATTGCATATTGCACATTGCATATTTACAATTACATAGATATAGATAAAGACCATCACATCATACCTGATGTTTCTTTCAGCAGATCTGTTGGTTTCTGTATATACACCTGGTTTTGGTGGACATATCTGCCTATATTTTTAAAGTTAAAGATAATATCTGTTAGGTAAGAAAACACTTCTCTGTTCAATTTAAATTTATAAGAAAACATTTATGTTCGAAAAGATCGGTGGGTGTTGGAACCCTACTACTACTTGAGATAACAAACTTTAACTCTTTGGATAGGCTAGAATCCAACCACCTCCTATTTGAAATTCTAAAGGGTCCAATAAACTCATTTTGTATCATCTATCTTTCTTTTTATAGATTGTTAACCACTGGATGTGTCTAGAAATATCTGCTCTAAATTTGTTCATGTGGGGTTTTATTGACCTCCATTCATCAGTAAAGCATTTTCATGTTTATCTCTATTAGACAGTGATATAATATTTTTAAATAGTAAGAATCTTTTTTGTTATTAGGCATCAAAAGAATAGTTTTTTCTTAGATTTATCCCATTTGAATACTATCCAGAAATACATTTGCACAGATAAGATGGAAAATAAGTCTGTATTTCAAGTTCACCTACCACATTGAGCATGACCACACTGAGCTAACAGAATTAAATTTTACTATGTTAGGTTCTGTCACAATTTATGATATAAGGCTTTTCTCTACTCTTTTTCTGAGTATCTGGTTGACCTACTTATACATTCTTGCTTATTCTCAAGAAGCTATATTCAACTATTTTTTGTACTCCTGAGGACATGTGTTAATTACATAGGAAACACTTTCCTTTCATATTCTTTCATTAAAATCATCTTGCTGTGATTAAAGTAATCAGGGTTTTAAAAACAGGCAAGTTGTCCCAATTTTATTTTTCAGATCATTGGTGGAAGAAAGAAATTAGAGTAGTAAAAATGGATTATACCAATTCCTATGAAATCTACCTTCTTTTAAATCTAAACAAGCTTACAACTCTAGCGTAACTGATTTTAGATTAGAATTTAGGTGGTACTAAGGCCAATTAATTTTAGCCCCTTAAAAATTCTATTCAAGTAAGATTTAATTGCTTAATTCTATATGAGTTAAAGGAAAAACAATGTAAGATAAAAAGCTTGAGAAGCTATTTTTAAGAGATAATTATAACCATCGTACAAATAAGTTATAAATCCGATCTATATTTTTAATTAGTTCGGTGAAGAAATATTCTCTTGACTCATTAAAAAAAATTATCCTCACATCCTAAGGACAAAATTTCAAAGATCCTGTGAAGTTTCACTGAATAGAAATTCAGACCTGGAGTTTTAACCAACAAGATGAACACCTAATGCTACATACTTCTGCTGCCCAGTCAGCACTTTCTAGCTGAAGTTCCTTTCTTACTGAGAAATATTTCTATGATTGTATCTACTAAAGAATAGTCCTATCTATAATTGTGTCTTATTGAAGAATAGTTCTATAATTGTGTCTTACATGGTGTCAAAAAATCACCATCAAAAAGCAAAAATACAAAAAAAAAATCAAAGGCAGACAATCAAGCAGAACTAATAAATTCAGTCTTCCATTGAGATACCATTTTTAATCTCACCATAATCATGGAAATATGGGATGTACATCCTGAAAAATGGTTCAAAATATAATAAACAGTGCAACAGGAACACATGGGAAGATTTTTAGATCTTTGAATTTGTTTCTGAGTATTAATTATAGAATGACACAGATTCAAAAGCCGAAAAACAAGTCTGTTTTTCCTGATTTGAAGACAAGTTAATTAGAACATTTTTTCAAAATTTGTGATAGTTTTGAAATACATCGTAAATTTCTTAACTAAATAAAAGATTAAAGAACTACACAAAGATATTTCTAACATAAGTGAGGATTTGGGTGGTAAAACAAAGTTTCAAGAAGATCTTTCATCAATAATATACATATCATTTAATATGTATATATTTATACTTTATATATAATATATATGCTAAATACACATATATTTTATATTTATATATTAAGAGATAGTATATAAGAAGCCTGTGCACCCTTTCTGAACATTAATATTGTTCCCTTTCTATCTTGAAGTTTTATTCCTTAAGACTAGTAATAGTCATCAGTACTCAAGGGCAAACATAAATACACATATGCATTGGCAAATAAAATTAGAAAAAGCTCTGCAAGTGCTTCTTTAAGTGAATGTGCACACAAAACATATCCATGCTTTACACAAAGCAAGTCACAATTCATTTACTTTAATTTCTCTTGAATTTCATTTTGATAAGATATTCTGGAGTACTAGGTCTTACCTATTATCCTGTCTCAGGTGGTTAGGAGAAGAAACAGGAGAACTGGGCTTTGGAGGTATCGGAGGGTGAAAAGCTGGTTCCCTTTAAAACAGAAAACAGTAGTTCATTTTACCATGGAAACATGGTAAATTTTAGCATCTATTAACCAAATGCATTTATTGCCTACATGGAAGTACCTCTTGCATCTTACAACCCCATGTGCAAAAGGTCAGAATCCATGGAGCGGTAAACCTAAAGAAGTCAAATACTTAAAACATGAGTATATTAAAAGTTCATTAAATCAGATATTTGGAAACCCCATCCTTTTTCAATATAGTGTGAACTATAATATGTTCCTTAAATAAATAGCTTAATGTTTTGCTAGTGTATCTAGCCCAAGTCATGGCATTCTGAGTCAGCAATGCGTGAGCATTGCAAGTGATCCTTGGGCATTAACATATAAGCCTCTTTAGGGATTATGTCAACTATCAAGCTGCAATGGAAATAGCAAGAACGGTTTTTAATTTCAGAGGCCTCAAGTTAAAGTTTGATTTGGAGCTCTCAACCAAATCTGACTTAAACATTGTCAGCACAGACCAGTTTGATGCTGGCAGAGCATATGTATATACTGTCAGCCTAAATTTTCCAGTGAGGCACCAAGGTAGTCTCTGAGTTGGCAAGATTTAATGACCTAAGAACTGGAGATGGGAGATTACATGCATATTTTGGATGGAGTGAGAACTCTACCAAGGGCATGTGACTCCTCCACTCTCCCACCACTACAACCCCAGTGGTTCTCTATGTGTCCTCAAGATCAAGTCTGCACCTAGTGAAAACACCTTGTGATCTGGACTCCATGTATCCTCTGGCTTCTGTACCCTGGTAGTTTGGTGTGTGGTCTGGAGTCAGGTAGTCTGAACTGCCAGCTGTGTGGTAATGGGTTAACCCAATTCTGTGTCTTCATCTGTAATAATCCTTCTAATAGGATTCTTGGGGTATTATCAGGACTGAATGAGATCGTGCTTTTATTCAACAAACTATTTATTGGTAGCTTTCTATGTGCAGGGCACTCTGTGAGGTGGATAATGTCCCTGTTCTCAAAAGATTTTCAATATACAAATAAATATATGTCAGAAGAAGAAAAGTGCTGTGCAAAAAATAAAACAGAGGAAGGGGATGCAGATGGGAGCACTAGGATGGGAGCACTATTTTATTTAGAATGGCCTAGGAAGGCCTCTCTGTAAGGTGAAATTTGAGCCAAGATCTGGAGGAAGTGATAGAATCTAGCATACAAAATAGGCATCATTAGCTTAGAGATGGTATTTAATGCTTGAAACTGGATGAGATCACCAGGGGAGCCAGTGTAAGTAGAGAAGAAAAGAGGGCCAAGGGTTGGACCCTCTGGCCCTGCAATATTCAGAGGTCAAGAATATGAGAAGGAAACAGCAAACGAGTCGAGGAGGAGTGGTTAAGAAGAAGACAAGAGAAATAGGAGGGTGTGGTATGCTGGAAGCCAAGTGAGAAAAGTGTTTCAAGGAAGCAGTAATTGGCCATGCTAAATGCTATCGTTAAATCAAATTAAAGACTAGGAAATTGCCATGGTTTCAGCAACATAGTGGTCATTGGTAACTCAGGTAAGAGCAGTTTGGATGGAGCAGAGGTGAATAAAACATTATAGGAGTGGATTTAGGAGAAAATGGGAAGGAAAGCGGTAGAGGCATTGATGCTGGTATTTGGCAGTGAACAGGGAAGAGAGATATGTGTAGCTACCTGGAGCTTAAGGGGACAAGGAAGGTTACTACAGCATGTAGATACGATGATGGGAATGATCCAGTGAATCACCGCCACGGGAGAGTGAGGGGCAGATGCTAGACAGATGTCCTTGGAAGTGACAGGACTTAAGGCACAAGTGGGGTCGTTGGACAGAAGCACAGAGGGCTCATTCACAGGAAAAAGCAGGAAAGGAACTTAGGTACAGCTGAGGTGTGTTAGTTGATCCAGAGTGGAGAAAGTTCTCTTTGGTTTACTTCTATTTTCTCAGTAAAATGGGAATCAAGATGATTAATTCGAAGTGAGGATGGTGAGCAGGAGCAGGAGGTGAGAGAGAGAGAGAGACAGAGAGAGAGAAAGTATGAAATGGTTTTCTAGGAGAGCAGGGGAGCAAGTGGACCCAGGAAATGAAATATGATGATAATAATAACACACCATTATATGGGATTATTATGTGCTGAGAGCTTTTTTAAGCACTTTACAAATATTAGCTAAGTTAATCCTCACTGCAATCCCAGAGACAAGTATTATTCTTCTTCCCATTTTATAGATGAAAAGACTGAGGCACAGAAAGTGAAAATAAATATCTCATGATGATCCAGTTCCTAAGGGGCAGAGAAGAGAACTGAACCAGGAAACCTGAATCCATGAGCCTTCCTCACGCTGTGCTTCCTCTCAAGAGATCCTTGGGCAGCACCAATGGCTCAGTTGAGGTTAGTACTCATAGAATTAAAATCAGGTTATTTGGCTTTGTTTTCTCTTGCCATAGTCAGCTCTTTTGAGGGTAGAAAGAGAAGAAATAGAGAGTTGGATTTAACTAAATTTATAATTCAGCCAAGTGAGTGCAACAAAGAGAAGGATGGCAAAGGAATGACAGGGTGTGTGAGGAAGGGACTACAATGAGGGACTGTGGGGTCAGAGATGAGTATAGAGAGGAAGGAGGAGATACAAGGGGTGAGGGATTATGAAAAAGATGGTTGAATCAATGGTCTGGTGATTGTGGCAGGGCTGAGAAATTACTGGAGGCAAAGGACTGGAGGGAGGGTGCTAGAAAGACAGAAAGCAGGAACCAGAGAGGGAAAACTTAGACATTTTGTCATTTTGTAGGGTGTGTGGTTATTTACGAGGGGACGTCCCATGGGTGGCTGATCACAGGACAGAGGGTCATGAAAGTGAGATGCCAGGCTGGGGAAGGACCTTCCACATGGATTTTGAATCACCAAGCATTATGACAGGAGGAGGGTTGGGAAAGTCAAGGAGGCTGGTGTTAAAGTCTTGAAAGAATGAGGGTGGATGACTCCAACGAGGAAGAGGAGCTCATGATGGCATGGCTTCAGAGGAGATGGGGGATTTTAGAGGGGAGGGAGCTAAAACTGACAGGAGGTGGCAATGAAGAGCAAACGAGATCCCTACCCTTCCTCTAGACCCTGTGATATGCTGGGTGAAGGGGAAAATAGCCCTTACTGACAGGGAGGCCGTGGAAGCAGGTTCTCCAGAAGAGCCCAACGAAAGGTGAGAGGCCACTGAGGGGGAGGCTGAAGAGCAGAGGGCTTTGACAATGATGCTTGACACACTCAGCGAGGCAGATGGAAGGGTTTGAAAGCTCATGGTGACATTAAGTGGGCTCAGGTTCAGGATGTACAGAGTACTGTGGGGATGGTCCAGGTGACAAGAAATGAGCTGACTGGGCCTCCCATGGGGATCCATGGACACAGGGAGGGAGGACATGATGGAATCAGTCCTGAAGACCCCTTGGCAGAGTGTGGCAGTGCAGCTCTGGGTGCTGGGAAGTGGAACAGTGGGGCAGCAGAGCAGCGGACATGTTAGATCTCCTGGCTCCTGTGTTGATGGTGGCATTGAAGTCAGAAGAAGGTTTGCAAGCCCCTAGAGCATGGCCTGACTCACAGGAAGTGCTCAATAAGTGTCTTTGCTCTGGCTGTTGTTTTTATCCCACAGGAACCCAATGCTATAACGGTGCCAAACACGCCCCGCCATGTTCTCTCTCCCCTCTGGAGTGCCCTCTACCCCCTTTCACCTGGATGCTCACCCATTGCCCTTCAAACTTTGCCTTAGCAATTACTATCTTCAGTGGTACCCAAAGCTGTGCTGGGTACATCCTTACATTTTTCCATAGCAACGCTATTCACAGCACATATCACACTATTCTGGATTACACATGATGTTCTGTTCCCACGCTAGACTGAAATCTCCTAAAAGGATAGTTATGTCCCAAGTACCAGTATTGTGCATGGCATAGGTGTCCAGTGAAGATGTGTTGAATGAATAAAGGAGCCAGTGATTGGTTAAATTTCTGTTTGGTGGGGAGGAAATGGGTACTGATGAGGGACCTGCAACTTTCAAAATCTGTGCAGCTTTCTCATAGGAGAAGTCCACTGCTGATTCCACTACAGAGCACCTGCTAGGTGCCAGGTGCATAGCTGAGTTATTGTGTTGTACAATATTTCTGGAAGAACAATTTACTTGGAAATAATCTCTCCATCCTGGCTTAGCGTCACATTCTACAGTTACAGATTATTTTGTTTGTATTACTACTATCTTTTTATCTCAAAAAAAATTCCCTTGTTTTGTGTCAGGTGACAGAGTCTTTAGTGTATCTGTGTGGATCAGCTGCTTATATGCTTTCCTTTGGAGGTATGGGAAAGGGGGAAGGAGGTGATCTGTCCTGGGTAATAATGGGGCTGGACAGAGCACTGGACATCTGAGGGCAAGCAGGAGAGAGAGAACAAGATGGAAAGGGGCATTCCAAAAAGTTGAAATGGGATGGAGCCAAGCTTTGCTTATATCAGATTCATGTTGATAAAATGCTAACTTTCTTCAATTTGAGAATGTCTAAGGCCTCAGTGAGGTGGGTAAATATTGCTTGGGTGGGTCTAGGAGGCAGAGATGGGTATAGTTAGATCTGAGATGTTCTGGAGAGTACTTGGGAGAGAAAAGGTGAGTGTGAGATTATTATGAAGGCCAAGAAAAGCAGAGGACCATATTTATTTCCGAGGGTGATGCATTTACACCCCTGCTGGGCCAGGAGCCAGGCAATGCCATGTTGACTTCAATTTACCTCAAAGGAGCTTTCATTTGCATCTCTGCAATGACAGCCACAGATGACAGAACCCAAGCCCTGGGGCGGGGCGGGGGTGGGGGCAATGAGAGAAGTCATTCATGCGGTGCCAGGAGCATGATATGATGCCAAGCAGGGGGATTAAAATGCAAGCTCGAGGCAGGAAGCTGTGGCCCGGAGTGTTTTGGAGAGAAGGAAACAAGAGACATTCATTGGAATGATCCTGATTGAATTCTGCTTCAATATGTGATGTTTA